AAAATCGCATATGCCTAGTTACAGAGCATGATATGTGCAGGTATGGGCATTGCGCTCGAAGGACTTTGTTCAGAAGACTTCGTCAGTTTCACAGTTTGGCTCAGATCTATCCGTTAGGAGATAACTAAAGCATCCATGGCCACATTCCCCAAAGTTTGTTCATGACTCACTCTCAAGCAAAACCTTTTCTCAACGCATAAATCTCAAATCAGACATTCTATGAAATCCACTTCAATAAGCTAAATACATTAATTTTAATCTTGTTGACATGCTTTGAAGCGTGGAGAGTTTATCTCCCACTTATCACAAGCCATTGTCTAAAACTAGCACTTAAATCAGCCATTTCACATTCTACTTTATCATAAAAATGCACGCAAACTTTCTCAAAAAACGATCGTCTTATTAAGGGAGCAACAATCCAGAATGAACAGGTATCATAATACACTTTCAGTTGATCTGATCAGTGTCTATAACAAGCATGATTAATCTTCTAATCATGTCGTACGGAAAACTTTCATTCGAAAGCATAAAACCTTCGGAACTCTCTAATCAAATCGCTAATCTGTTTCGGAAGCTGTACACGTCTCAGAATTGTAATTGAGATCCAGTCTGTACAAACAGAACTGAACTACTTGTGGTCTTTAGTGGGCATTGCTCCGATTGGTAGCTCGAAGAACGAGTTCTGCCTGTTCACGATCTGAGCCAGAGCCAAGTACCATGCAATGAAAGCTGTAATGATCCCGAAGATGCCACCAGCCTTCGTTATGTCCTTGTCGAGTTTAAATTCACCGATGGTCAGCAGAAGGAAGGTGATGGACAGCGAGAAGAAGAGGGTCGTGAGGCACACGTTCGTTCGTAAAGTGGCCAACCACATCATGAAGGTGAAGATGGTCCAACCGAGCAGCCAAAGTCCCAAAGATTCATTGAAGTCGACAAGAGACTCGCTGGCCACAAACGCAGCACGAACACCGAAGGCCGGAATCTGAATCACAGCGAACGAAAGCCAGAATGCGCCATATGACGAGAATGCAGTGGCTCCAAAAGTGTTTCCAGCCGAGAATTCCCACATTCCAGCCAGAAGCTGCGCCAATCCACCGTACCCAGCAGCCAAACCAGTGACGACAGTATGAGGAGCACTCTGTGGAATAATCACTCCAGCGTTGTGGCAAGACAGCACAAACGTTGTCAAGGCGAATCCCATGAGTCCCAGAGGAGCAGGATTCGCAACCACAGATTTGGTGTGCATGGGTCTGGACAGGATGTCCTCCAATCGAGATGCCTTTTCCATATCACGTTCGTGCGTTGGGTACGACATTGTCGATATGTTCTCGGTCCTACAGAAGACAAGTTCGTGGCTGTGTGAATCCTGGTCGAAGGAGCTCAAGCTCTGGAGAGGTATCGGTTGGGAGGAAACTCACAGTCACGCTAGATGTCACAGACAGAAGCGCGACTGGATGTCAAGACTGCTGATTCTAGTCTGCCTCTGGCTTCCGGATTAGCTTCGTTTACGACTGCAGCAAGTCAAGACTGCTTCCTCCTGCCGATGAAACCCCAAGCATTTGATATATATACGTTCCTCGGCTCCCATGAGTACCAGCCTTTGGAACTCCATGCTAAAATGAGCTCTAGACAGCGCCTGCTATATCCCGGCCTCTGCTGACATCAATCTGTATTTATATAAACTTCAAATTTTCGGAGATGGTGACAATGATGGGCAGTAATACCCACGTGGGATAAAACAGTTCTGCATGCTCACTTGTGCTCATATGTTTCTAGCTCGCAACTTTATTGGAATATTAGTACCTACTACCGGCTCGGAAACCTCTAAAAGTTGAATCACTCTAAGCACTTCCCCGTTCCCACTACTAAAATATGACGAGCTAGCGAGCAGAAAGGAAGTTTGCCACTTTGGAAACTCTCGAACAATGAGTCTTCTAGACGAGAATTTACAAACTCATGTCAATAACTAATAGTAGTTGTTGGAGAGTATTCGAGACCATCCGCTTCTGTAAAGAATACAATCCACTTGAGAGATGTCGATATGTGCAAAATTCGACATCCCTGGATACGTTTCTCTTAAAAAAGATCTCATGCCGGACCTGCCAATTCATAAAACTTGGGTTCAAATTGTCTGAGATCTTGATTGATTAACTAACTAAATTTTTTTATGACAGCTGCAGTAGACTGATCACGTCGTATCTAACGATTGTCGGCGCTCGAACTGCTTTTACGAAATTCATCAGGGGTACCTTCTGACCTCAGAGTAAACACCCTCCATCCTGAATAAAATAAATCTAAGATTTTGTTAGGGATATGAGATACACGGGCTTCCTCAATAAGTGCGTAAGCTGCCATCGATTAGCAGAATACTGCGTACAATACATGTTCCACATCACGTCGCTTGTCTATTTTAAGAATCCAAGAGCCAGATTGAACCTGCAGGCAACTACTTCGTAAACACAAGCGGACACTAGGCCGAATGTGTGCATATTTTCAACTGGATAACGCAAGCCAACTGAACTTCAGTAGTATATCCTCTTGCTGAAACGCCAGCAGCTAGCCGGCTGCATAAAGCGAAAGCCACAAGGCAATCTGCAATACCTGCTCACTCTAAAGTTTCTGCCCACGAAAGAAGAGAGGTCAAAGATAGGATGAAACTAGGTGCTACGGATAGAGAAACATGCGGCAGCAACAAGTGAGTCCCGGGCACGCACTGCGAGGAAACACCCTTGAAGGAAAACAGAAACTTCTGCAAGCTGCCAACTAAGCAATACACTCATACAACGGAAATAGACGTGTTCATGGATAGTCGTAGGCCAATCTGGAGTCTGAACATCCATGTCGGACGCTCATTTGTCTCTACGATGCCACTTGGTATCCTAGGTTGCATCTCCATTCGACCGTATTATCGGACCTAACACAATAGCTCGAATCGCTAGATTCTCTCAGATGTTAGTCCTTGCATGTACGGATCCAGAATGTCTTGGAGAATTTCCGACGCGGCATAACCTTTCGATATTTTCGGAAAATGAGGCTGTAAATAGTCAATGAGCAGAAACCGAGGTTGTGGATCTTCAGCATGGTAAGCATGGAACAAACTGAATGTCAAGATCCTAAACTTGAGTGCTGCACGATCATCACTGTGTGAGCTTGGGGAACTTTTGAAACTCTGAACTCTCGAGGTATGTGAGCGCAGCTGCTAGCACTGACCTGCACTCAGTACTAGCAGCTGTGCTCACGAACCTCGGAGAGCAACGTAATGAGTCGACCCCTCGCTCTGACTACTGCTGATCGGCAGAGCTCGAGGTGCATTAGAACGAAGTCAAGTCACATCTTGTACACAGCAGCAGCTTCTCGCTAGTAATTGAGCTTCGAAATGGTACTGCTCTGCTTGACACACAGTTGCAGCTAGCTAGAAATTTTACACCAGACAGCAGAGATCTGACTGGCAGCAGATCTGATCATCAAGGGCTGACTTGATAAAATTGCTCCTAGCAACGGAAAATCAGGAAGGGTTCCAGCTGGGAGACAGTTCTGTCCTGGACAATCCTGGACAATTGCATCTGTTGTGGCATACCCTGCACCCCTGAGAGTGATCGATTTTGCGAATTACGAACTACGATTTTGTCTCTAACAAATTCCCCGCCAAAGTTTATCAAAGAGCTCTGAACAACCTCTCTATATAGTTGTCCGCGTTTACTCGCGTAATATAAACCGCATGCAACGCTCCATTAAGAGCATAAAAACTATTACTCAGAAACCGTTGTTAAACCAGAGCTTGCCGGATTTTTGGGAGCATTGACAATGCTCCTAATCAATCATCATTCAGAGCAGCGAGGAAGTCCAGTTATTGTGACTAGCTGTGTGTATTACAGTGTTTATCTGTTGTAAAATGTACGGGAAGGACATCCACTTGGTCCTCGCCAACGAGACCAAATTGTGTTCATGCAGAAGGCCAACTCCGAGCGTTTCATACTGAGCTCTCTACATCTGTCGTTTCTGACAGAACGATACGATGAGTAATGGAAACTTCAATCAGAACGCTTAAAGGCAAATCCTGATTGCTCTTGTCCCCCAATCCTCAAATGATATTCAATGTGGTTAAACAGTTTTCCTAAAAAGAAATTGAGCTGGAAACACAATAAAGTTCTCAGATGTGCACGCGGAGTCAACAGATTTCATGTATACTGCTCGAGCTCTTGAGATATGCATCTGTATATTATTGCAGATCATGATCCATTCCGAACCGATCACACATTAGTTTTTTAGTTTAGTCCCATCGACAATAATCCTCGGATAGTATACACCTTCACGGACGTAGCTGATAATCCTCGATGAGTGGGCTCATACCAGAGGGAGCCATGCAATCAGTACTTAACAATATCGACTGATACCCACTGACAGCTTCAGACTATTGTGGGTTCAGCAACGAGGAGTCCAGCTACTGATAAGGAAATCTAATTTTCAGCTTTCATTTCTACAACTCCAGCCATTTGATTTCCTCTATCACATACACAATTCAGTTTCAGACAGCCACGAAGCTGCTGACAGGATTGAACGACACAATAGACATTAAGTAACGGCCGCTAGTTATAATCATTCGGACTTCTTCTTTTACTGCAATGATATGAAGCGTGGAGAGATCATCTCCAAGGTCTGACAAGTCATTGTCTAAAACTAGCACTTATGTTAGCCATCTTCAAATACAGCCTCATAAAGAGACTGTAATCAACTGTTTCCAGAAACCGATCATCTTATTAAAAAAAGCAATAAGCTTTCTGAAGTATTATCACAAAACACTTTCAGTTGATCTGATACGTGTCTACGATCACCATGAGTAGTCTTCTAATCATATCCTATACAAAATGTTAGCCTGGAAACCGGAAGAGCTTCGGAACTCTCCGATCCATCGCTAATCAAATAAGCTCAAATCTGTTTGAGAAACTTTACACATCTCAGAACTGTAATTGAGATCAAGTCTGTGCCTAAACAGAATTGAACTACTTGTGGTCTTTACTGGGCATCGCTCCAATTGGTAGCTCGAAGAACGAGTTCTGCCTGTTCACGATCTGAGCCAGAGCCAAGTACCATGCAATGAAAGCTGTAATGATCCCGAAGATACCACCAGCCTTCGTCATGTCTTTGTCTAGTTTGAATTCACCGATGGTCAGCAAGAGGAAGGTGATGGACAGAGAGAAGAAGAGGGTCGTGAGGCACACGTTGGTTCGCAGGGTGGCCAACCACATCATGAAGGTGAAGATAGTCCAACCCAGCAGCCAAAGCCCCAAAGATTCATTGTAGTCTACTAGAGACTCGCTGGCCACAAACGCAGCACGAACACCGAACGCCGGAATCTGAATCACAGCGAACGAAAGCCAGAAAGCACCATATGACGAGAATGCAGTCGCTCCAAAAATGTTACCAGCCGAGAATTCCCACATTCCAGCCAGAAGTTGCGCCAATCCACCGTACCCAGCAGCCAAACCAGTGACGACAGTATGGGGAGCACTCTGTGGAATAATCACTCCAGCGTTGTGGCAAGACAGCACAAACGTTGTCAAGGCGAATCCCATGAGCCCCAGAGGAGCAGGGTTCGCAACCACTGATTTGGTTTGAATGGGTCTGGACAGGATGTCTTCCAATCGAGATGCCTTTTCCAAATCACGTTCGTGCGTTGGGTACGACATTGTCGATATGTTCTCGGTCCTGCAGAAGACAAGCTCGTGGCTTTGTGAATCCTGCTCGAAGGAGCTCAAGCTCTGGAGGAGGATCAGTTGGGAGGAAGCTCACACAGTCACGCTAAATCTCACAGGGAGAACGCGACTGGATGTCGAGACTGCTGATTCTGGTCTGCCTCTGGCTTCCGGATTAGCTTCGTTTACGACTGCAGCAAGTCAAGACTGCTTCCTCCTGCCGATGAAGGCTAAAGCATCTGATATATATACGCTCCTCAAGTCCCATGGATACCAGCCTGTGGACTTCCATGCTAAAATCAGCTCTAGACAGCGCCAACTATATTTCGGCCTCTGCTGACATCAAGGTGTATTTATATAACCTACTAGGTTTCGAAGATGGTGACAATGATAAACAGTAATACCCACGTGGGATAAAACAGTTCTCCATGCTCACTTGTGCTCATATGTTTCAGCCTCGCAACTTTCTTGGGATAATTAGTACCTACCATCGGTTCGGACACCTCTAGAATTTGAATCCCGCTAAAAGAAAAAATGGAAAGGGGATTAAGCAGAAGTTCAACACCGATGTACATCCCTGGAATAATAGAGGGAAAAAAGTAACACTCCGATATTTCTACAAATAATGTTTCGTATCTAATAAGATTATACATACTACACAAGCATGACGTAATATGAATTGAATGAATTGCATCAACCTCAATTGTTATAATAATACCAGATCCAAACAGTATTTTTCACAGGAATTATTCCACGAAACTTGCATATGTTGGATTCGATGGCTTCATATTACTAACAAACAGTTTAACTCTTTGCATAGCACTATACTAGCACATGGAGAATACTTGCTACTAAACTTAATAATCACCTCTCCAGGAGGGGGACTATGACTTGACATAGGATAGTTCCATGTACACCTATGCACATGTATTCCACCTGCAGATCTTCAATTGAACTCCTACATATAATCTGACTACTGTTTAAAACATTGCAATGGTAGGGCAAGTTGAAGTACAGAGTTGTCGACCAAGTTCTTCATATGTACAGCAAGCTTTCGGATATTTTTCACGTAGTTAAGAACTTTCGGTCTGTTTTGTCATGTCGGTATCATTTGGATGAGATGAGGAGTTGTAATGTTATTCCATCAAGGGTGCAGTTTCTGGAGGAGTTTTTATTCCTCACATCATAAGTCCCCCATTGACGACAAATCAAAGAAAGATTGATACAGGAGGTCTCACGCTATGTCCTCAATCTTTCTCTTATGTTTTATTTAGAAGGGACTTTCGAAAGTGAGAAATTATAGCTCGTCCTGGAATTCTACCCTGGAAGAAAGTATCAAACTCCTCTCCTCGAGTTGCAATTTGCTTAAGTCCGGGAGTCATTCACTTACCTTTCAGATCGCTACTGGCATTGCAGCTCAATCGAACACCTCTGCTATCAAATATTAGAGATTTGCTGCAAAGTGAACTGCAGCAGTGGCACCGACTGGCCCATTCGCAGCCACTCGATGTTTCAGCAGTCGATGAATATGTCCGACCGCGGACTGCAAAGTCAGTGACCCACGGATCCTTATCTCATGTAAAGTTTCAGATCTCCTTCCCGCTATAAAGAAACTTATACTGGTACAATTCTTCGGACGAAACTCCAAAAGCTTATGTCAATAACTATCTAGAGTTACGAGACTAAATGCCTCTGTTAAAACACCATCCACTGGAGAGATGTCGATCCAACAAATCTTTCTCAAGTGGAATATACAATATTCCTGGATGCGTGTCTTTGAAAAGACGCTCTCATGGACGACCTGCCAATTCATGACTTCGGATCAAAAGTATCTGAGAATGTCGTTGCTGAATCCACTTAGGTAAAAACTGTGTGCAGTAAACTGATCGTGTACGATATTACAACTGTGGAAGCCCGACCTGATGTTCCTACTTTAAGTTCGGGGCTTCTTCTTACGTGAAAGTTAAATCCATTGATCCTGAATGAAATAGATTTTAAGATTTGTTAGTGAACGTAAGATCGATGGGTTTCTTCAGTAAGTAAGTATGCTGCCATCTTCAAGCAGAATGCTGCGTCCAATCCATGTTCCACATCACATCACGTCACTTGACTATTTTAAGATTCCATGAGCCAGATTGAACCTGCAAGGAACTACTTCGTTCACACAAGCGGACACTAGGGCGAATGTGATGCATATTTCTAACTGGATAACGCAAGTCAATTGAGCTTCACTAGTATATAATCCTGCTGAAACGCCAGCAGCTAGCCAGCTTCATAATACGGAATCCACAGGGCAGTCTCCAATACCTGCTCACTCTAAAGTTTCCGCCCACGAAATAACAGAGGTCAAAGATAGGATGAAACTAGGTGCTACGGATAGAGAAACATGCGGGCAGCAACAAGAAAGTCCTGGGCACGCACCACGAGGAAACACGAAGGAAAAGAGAAACTTCTGCAAGCTGCCAAACAAAGAATAATTTCCTAAGACGACAATAGACGTATTCATGGATAGTTGTAGTCCAATCTGGAGTCCGGACATCCATGTCTGATGCTCATTTGTTTTTACGATGCCACTTGGTATCTCAAAAAGCATCTCCAATCCAAAACATTTGTCTTGCATCTATAAATATGGGAGCTGACACAATAGTTCGAATGCCTACATTTTCTCAACATTTAGTCCTTCCATGTACGGATCCGGAATGTCTTTGAAGTTATGCCACGCGATACGACCTTTCGATATGGGACGCTCCGATTAGTCAAAGAGCAGGCAGGAGATTCGGTTGTTGTGTATCTTCAGCATGGTGCCCATGGAAATGAATTTAGTGAATGTGTAGATGCTAAATCTGAATGCTGCACTATCCGTATGAATACGAGCTCGGGAAACTCTGAAACTCTGAAACTCTGAACTCTTGAGGAATGTAAGTGCAGCTGCTAGCACTGAGCTGCACTTAGTGCTGGCAGCTGCGCTCACTGACCTCGAGGCATGATTTAGTGAGGCAACTAACTGAGTGTAGCTCTCGCTCTAACTAATGCTCAGCAGGAGATAGAGCGAGAGAACAGCTCGAGGCTCCTGATAACAAAGTGAAGTCCCCATCTTGTTTACTGCAGCAGCTTCTCGCTAGTCACTGAGCTACGAACTTGAACGGCTCTGTTTGACACATTATTTTGCAGCTAGCTAGAAGCCAGCACCAGACGGGAGATATGGACTGCCACCAGGTCAAATTATGTGAGGCTGGCTTAATAAAATGATCACTCCGAGATAATAGGCAGAATTCGAGCTGGGACACAGTTCTGTCCCGGCCCTCGAAGGCAGCATCGGTGGTGGCAAACCCCGCACCCTTGGAACTCGTTGGATGTAAATGTACGACTTCTGCACTGTCGTGCCAGATTGCAGGAATCATCCTCCCTCGGACTGCTCCTTACACGATCATGACAGGTTCTGCTGTATATGGTGGAAAGGCCCAGCTGCTAGCAGTCATGTAGGACGTAAAAATGTCAGGTATCTCAGTGCCTTATCTCATCTTCGAAGAGCTATGCATCATTTGTATATATAAATGACATATTCCACATGTGGATAAGTTCTTCAGTAAGTTGCCAAGCTTCTTCCCATAAGAGACATAATATGATAGTCATTAAGCTGGAAAGTCACTACATGTTCAGCTGTGTACTAGATTATTCTATGTAGAGTGAAGAACCCCACAAATCGAAATAAAGTGCTGGACGTTCTTGTTATCAGAATCTTAGTCATGCGGTAGGGAATGAATTACAACTTTAGGTGAGGTTGAAGAAACTAAAACAAAGCAGAGCAAGAGGTAACGAATATCCCAGGCCAAAATTAAAAGCTATCCAGAGAGCACTGAGAATTCTGTTCATATACTCGTCTGTCCTTCCTGGCGTTGAATTAACCTCATCCTAAACACTGGAGGTAGTGTTTAGGATGTTTAATCGATATTCAAACCAGAGCTCGCCCGGATTCGTGGAAGCATAGAGAATGCCTCCAAATCAATCCGAATTTGGATCAGCGAGTAGCTTAAGTTAGTGTGACTGGCTGTAATAAGGTTTTTCTCTTTGTGAAAAAGTGTAGCAAGGACATGAGTTGGGTCAATGCTTACGCGACCAAATGTGCATGCAGTAGGCCAAGACCCAGCGTCTTAGTCCCTAGATCTCTCGCATCTGACTGAACGATACAATCACTCTCGTAAAGCTCAATCAGTGCGCTTAAAGCTGCGTATCCTGATCGCTGATGTCCCCCAAGGCATAAATGATATCCGAGTGGTTAGACAGGTCCGCAGAAGATATACTGATCTAAGAACACAGTAAGTGTCAGATGAACATGGAGTCAATGGATTTCGTGTATATTGGTCAAGCTCTTGTTATATTTGTAAAAAGCCAGCTGCAAACCAAAATCCAATCCAAACCGATCACAGGAAGTTATTATTACACAGCCATTGACTATTGTATTCATTCAGGACAATAAGCCCCAGCTGAAACCCATCGATACTTGGGCTCCCGGAGAGCCAGAGAAATGTAGCAGTTGAAATGCTTCCCGTCTCTAACGACACAGACTATGGAGGAAGGGACAAGTATCAACCCAATGGTCCGAAAACCATTGGGAATATCACCAAATCTTTTGCCTCACTTACTCGCAGTTGCCAATATATTAGGAAGAGAACATATGGAGAACAAGAACGTACTTGGGTACGTATAGATATGGGATATTTATCCGTACCCACTTTGCATAAACTTTGTTTAACTTAAAAATGATTTCACTCCAAGTGAATTCACCTTTTCTTGTATTTTCAGGTGTCTTTCACGTGTCTATTATGGCATGGATGTAGACTCTTCGATCTTGACTCGATCATGTAATATGACTTTCCAGCTTGCACTATTTATTATTTCACAACAAGGAAGTCTTGCGCGAACCACATCTTTATTGCTAGCAATTTAATATAAGCTGCTAAATATTAATATTCAAGCTGCTAGATGTATGAGAATTAACATGCCTTGATCTCCATTCAAAAGATAATTATCCACAATGTTATTAAAGTGTAATTTTTTGATGACCTGCAAACGTGAATAACTCACATGAACAGACTGTTGATATAAATTGGCCACTGAGGAGGGTTACAGTGCATTCTGTTTATAAGGGCCAACTTATGATGGAAGATTTAGCCTCCTCAACTGTTTTTTAAAGAATCAAGCCACCAGTTTGATTCTTTGAAATGCAGTTGAGGAGGCTTAGGTTAGAATGGCTTTACTTAATTAAAAAACACCAACTTATTGCTGTGAATGTGGTGGTTTCATTCTACAGCTGAAAGAGCATGACTACGCATGTTTATGGATGAGCAGAAACTGTTGTCATCATACTTGCTAAGGTATCCAGATAGAGATCATCTTTTTTTTTTCCTTGCATCGGACTTATATGGAGTTATCAATACGAATATTTTCATATTTTGGAATGAGATTGGAAGAGCCTATCGTGCTAGGCGACATGATTTTTCATATCTTCTCTATCTTCCTGCTATATACATTTCCAACTTCGAGTATATTCTTCCTGCTTTTGATGACGCATTACCAGTTGGTCTCTTATCCATCCTTTACTACTGTGCCTCCACTAGAACGAGCCAATGATCCCCGCTAAAGTTTGAAAAGAAGTACAATAAACAGTTTTTACTGTGAGCTTATATACACAGTATTTAAATATACTTTTTTCTTATATATAAACTTAAACTCGATTAGTTTTAACTCGATTTTCTTAATATACAGTTAACATTGGGTTAGGGTTAAGGGTCCCTAAACCCTAAACCCTCAACAATCGTGATGAAAGATCTATTGATCGTAGAGTTAAAAATTCAAATCGCATTTCAAATTCAAGTCGTATTTTCATTATCATGAGCTGATTCGATTTTTCGGACGTACCCCTCCCCTTGTAACTTGCCATTGTAACTTCAAAACCCGCTGGGTAATTTTAGCCAAATATATATGTTGAAAATTTAGCATGACTAATGCTTGACTCCGCGGATTTCAGATATGTACTAATGTTGCGACAGTACCTGACTCCCTATGTTTGATAACAATATTGAAAGCTCTAAAATTTTTGGGTTATGACTTGGAGGTAATCAGATTTTTATTTACAGAATTGAATTTATGCAGAAAGTAGCAAATCTATATGTATGGAAGTAATACTAGTTTTGTTGTTTTTTTTGGGCATTCGTTGCTGATTTTCGACTTAGTGCGCTGATTGCGTGATATGGATTTTCCTCATGCAGGTATATGCTCGGTATATACCTGCATGAGGAAACCTGCTATCAGCATGGGATGATCTTATCATCCTAGTAAATCTCGTAACCCTAGTGACATTATAAATACATTATCGACTGCTAAAAAGCAAGTAAAATGCAGAAAGCAATGATACACCTACTTCATTTGACGCTTTGACGGAGGAGTTATTGTGGCTTCTCTCGCTGCTGGGAAGATAATACTCAGCGGGTGACTTGGACGGACTAACGCTATTCATCTTTGAAAGGGTAGATAGATAAAGTAAATCTCTAGCATATCTAGTATAACCCATACACGGAAGCAGGAAAACGAGACACAATGGCATATTAGTGCTTTGGAGATCGAAGTGAGAAAATGTCTTTGAATAAACCCAGAGACTGCAGTAAAATACAATGTATACTATTCCGCGGATGATGACACGAGGACCCATCTGGCAACCCACATGCCAGAGGAATAACCCAACAGTCTGACGTGGACAATTCTACATGTTAGCAAAGTAAGGATCAATAGCATGTCCGTCAATTGGCACAGTACTGATAACGATACCTTGCCGAGAATCTGAGACGAAGTGAGTGGAGATAAAAGGCTCGTGGGGTGACATGCTTAATCACAGCAACGGGGAGTCTACCAGGAATTATAGGCGGTCAGCAAATGTGATCGTAACATCAGCATTTGATTTTCGTCCACTCAACAATATAGCGACTGTGTGGACACTGACTCCGAGTGCAAGTGAATCTAACTAATTCTCTTTACAGCAAGGTGGATTCCAGTCACAGTTTTGATAACTTCTCGGTGAGAATCTAGTGGAAGCTTGGCTAGTATTCATGCCGTAGACGATCAGATGGGGCACTACTTATGGGTCACTTGTGTCTGTGTTTAAACTCAGCAACACTGACTACCTGGGAAGCAGAGCCCAACATTGGGTGCCCATACCCATGCGCAAACCCACGCATGCACATGGGTTTTGGGTGACATTGTTTTTCCATGGGTGGACATGGGTGTGCACAAGTAATGCTGTGGGCATCCAATCGAGAATTGGTGTAACCGAGTAACACACATAATACAATTGGCGCAATTTGAATAGCAGGGTGGGCACAGGTCGCTGCTGATAAATATGGTCTGGTCTGGTCTGGGTCCAGATTTGAAGTGAAATGTTCGCCTCTGCTGGGGAGTTATTCACAAGTAAATGACTGGATTTTATTTCCAGACACCTCTTTCGTTGCGCAAGATGATATGGAGGACTTTTATTGTCTTCATAGTATATCCCAGGAATGAATTATAGATGTTTATTCTTATTATCGTTAAAAAATTAGCTAGATAAATCCAACCCTTAAACTGTGAGCTAGATAGCCCCTGTTATTACACTTATATTATTCTTAGTTTTTACAGAAAGCAATTATGATTTTCAAATGGAGCTCGAAGTATGTTTTATTCCAGGAACAGATGGCCAGTTAGAGCGCTCAGTGGAAGAAGAAGTCGTTTTTGTATTCTCTCATGGTGCAGGCACCAATGGAGACATGCCTCACGGCGTTTAACATCATAGCGCGTGTGTTGCTCAGGTAGAGGAAAGGGATGCTCAAAGGAAATGGTTTCAATCTACAGCCCATGATCGAGTATCAGTCTCAGACATCCAAGGAAGGATAAAACCGCATCAATTCTCAAGCCTGGCGGGGCGAAAACTCTCGGGCGGCCACTGCGAATGTTTGAGAAACAAGCCTTAAGTTTATCATCACAGACTGATTCAGTCGAAGGGCCACAGATTGAAGAGCACTATCGAATTGGAACAAACGAGGAACTCTGTTACTGGTAAACTATTCTGACAGGCAGCGAATGATATTGCCAGAGGCTCTACTCGAACTGCCTAGATGATTCCTGAACTCTCAGATGACCGAGGCAAAAGGCTGTGGCGAGTCGTCTCAGAAATTCAGGAATCAGCAAGACAAACGATTTGAAGGACAGGAGGCTCGAATCCAGGCCAGGACCTGCACCTGAAATTCTGAACCGGCATAACATCTAGAAATTGCAAGAGAAATCGGCAGTTCAAGGAGAACAGAACGTAATTCAAAAAAACTTTCCTAAGATTCTGCCAGAGAATTGAGTGACAGGCTACAGATGGACTGGGTCGTATGCCATCAACAACGATGGCGAAACTTATAGGACATCAAATTCAACTTACCTCCGACGACAGCGTCCCATCGCGCCTCGAAGCTTCGTCCACAGGCATTAGGGTTAGGGTTGTGGAGCATGTCTCTCAGAGTTGTAGGGACAGGGTTTAGGTAGGCAGGGAATGAAACTTCTGAGAGCGTGGAACAAATTGTATACCTGCCGTATATAATTTGCCATTTTCCGTATACAATACGCCCAGTAATTACACCGATCAGAAATTCGGCACAATATACTCTGTATGGTCATATCCATGACATAGAAGAATCCACAATAGTTCCAAATGAATGCTTGTACAGAGCAACAAATGAGATAAAACTTTTGAGGTTTTAGTTGTAATGAATGATATCTTAGATGAAGATAGATATATTTTGCACCAAAACACCATTTAAATATTGCATCATTTTACATCTAACTTCTTACTATTTAGTTCGTTCACGTCAAAGATGAGTCTATTGACTGTGTAAAACATGATACGTATTTGGCTTAACACATTATTGTGCTATCAATTCTTCGCAGTATCCCTTCGTGCATATTCCCCTTGTAGTAATTCAGAAGAATGTGATATTGAAACAAGTTACTCGTTATTGGGTGTAATTTAGCAGATGAGCACAAGAATGTCCTGGCAAAAAGTTTCCAAAAGAAATTACGGGGTCTTGTTTCCAAACTACAACATACCTGTAATTACATGTGAACTTTCATCGTCTTATTTCGCCAAGTTGGACAACACTCCAGCTTTTGATTGGATCCAATCACACAACACTGGTTGATTGCTTTGGTTAGCCTGCGTCTTGAATCCCTGTTTCCATATTCAATATTATTTCCTCTCTTATTCATCGGGCTGCATCATAGCAGATTGCTTATAAGGAGTTATACAATGAAAAGATGTAAGTGATTGCGGGGTTTACTTTGGTAAGTTTGGGATGCAAAGCACTACATGATTATTATGAATGCATATTATGCATAATATGCATGACACTGTAACAGTGAGGGTATATTTGCTGGGCCACGTGAATTCAATTAGTAACTACAAATAAGTCTTGCACGGATATTTTTTAGCAAGACAGTTGTAAAAACCTTTTTCAGCTACATACCTGTAATGACATCAATCGACTGAACTACTAACTCTTAGTTAACAAAAGCGTGAATTAACATTTTTGCCACGGTTATGAGCTTCCAGGCAGGCTGTTGAAGTGTAAATGAAAATGCAGCTGCAGGTTATGTCCCAACGTGTTGGAATTGCGAGTGCACTTGTCCAGCATGTGGGTGTAGACGAGGACATCCACTGATTCACTGGTTGTTTATGCATCTGTTACGAAGGAGCACGCGTTTCCACCAATCGTCTTTCGGTGCAATAACTTTCGAACTGTTATTGTAACTGACGTCGGTGCGATTCGGTGTTGGTTTACTGTAGTCGAACCATATTTGAAGTTCACACAGTCACAATGGCATTTTGTTGTCACTGGGGACGAGGGAGCATTTAATTTTATGGGATATAAGAAATGATCCGTCACGAACGCTTGACATTGGTGACGAGGGAAGTCTTTTTGCAGAGCACTTGTACGCCCGCGATGCCGCCTTGAGTAAGGGCAAGAAGTGGAAATGCTTTCCAATTTCTCGAGGATTCGAGACTACGGCTTCTCACTGACGACATGCGGGTTGTGCTAGGAGGAATTCCCTCCGGTGGAGAGAACACGATTGTCAAGGATCTGCTCCATCTGAAGTCCAAAACTGACCTGAAGGCACTAGAAGAAACTGGAGAGTTCACCACACGATTTGCACATATGCATCCAGTTCATCCTCAACAACAAACTCATGACTATGTTGTCTATTGAGGTTGTCATAAATCGAGCCTGGATTCTTATGTTGCCGAGCCGATCCAGACGCAGTATGTTGTAGCAAACCCTGCTCCTCTGGGCTGATGGGACTTTGTCCGCTCGACGTTTGTGCTCTCATTGCATAAAGCTGGACTCATGATCCCACAGAGCGCTCCGCTGACCGTCTTCATTGGTGTGGCTGCAGGATATGGTGGACTAGCTCAGCTCCTGGCTGGAATGTGTGGGAGATGTCAGCTGGAAACACTTTCGGATCTACAGCTTTCAGCTCCTACTCAGCAGTCTGGATTCGCTGTCATCTAAATTCGTGCCTCCGGAGTAAGTATGTGCTGGAATTGTGGCCAGCGATTCTTTGGTTGACTGGAACGAGGATCTGGATCTCTGGCTGCTCGGAGGAATCCCTCTTCACTTTCATGATATGGCAAATACAAAAATGCTCAGGACTCTCTTTCTATGTCGAACAAAAGATACATTCTCCTTCCGACGATCGGACAAGTCACCTTGGACAAGCTTATAACTCATATTTGGGGTTATAACAGCTGCCACTGCCTGGTTTTTTACTTTGGCTCAAATCGTCAAGAAGAAAAATCATTCTTCGAACTTCCGATGGGAGACTTCCCTGCTCCAAAACGCGAAGACAAGCTCAGCCTAAATATTGGAACTCCGCTCCAAAAATCATTTTCAAGTTACCTGTTCGGACCTCCCTTTCGGGACTATGGATTGGTTGAAAAGTCTTATTTGAAAGAAGCAGATTGGTGTTGGTGTAGTCCAACTGTACGACTTCGTACTGAGATTATCATCATTTACTTGGTTTCCTGATTCCTCATTCGGATGGTAGGTTCAGTTGGAAAGGCTTTCGTCTATGTCCTTATGAAAAATCACGCATCGAGTTTCCACCATATGTTCAACGAACCCGAACACCACATGTTGATCAACGGTTCATGACCTCATTATACTTTTTAATAAAGGCTCGTCCTCTGAAATTCTACGACCAGATACACCTGATAGCGAAGAAACTCAAGACAAGAAAATCTTCAGTCACACCTTCAGTTGTTATTACGAACTGAAGAAGTGACTGAAGATTTTCTGAGTGATGAATCTGACGATAAGAACTTCTTATCGTCAGATTCATCAGATCCTCGCTAGGACAACGAAAATTTGAAGGTTTGTATCGGCAAACAGCGACAAGAGAAGCAGGAAGGAGTGAACCTGAGGAATGTTGAAAAAGTGGTTGGCGATTCCATCGAGCAGGAATCGGGATCCATCTGGCGGCATCAACGGGAAGAAGGATGCGTATCCTCTCTAGGGTAGCTCGGTCTTGCTGTATGGTAACTTCAATCGTGTAATACCCTGCCAGTTTAGGTCACGTGCATTTCTTATACTCCTTTCCTTCTTCAGTCTCGATTGCCCTGGCCAGCCCAGGCATATTCATACTTCGTTGTGTTTGTATGGTACGGTAGAGGGTTATTTTTTGGTCGGTGGTGGTGTGTACCACCCAGAGAAGGAAACCTGGCCCATCAGCCTACCTCGCATCAACATGGGTTGCCCCGAGCCTCCCGCTCTCGGTGCCTCAGATCTGCTTTTGAGGTCTGAGTCTTTCAGGACGCCAACCAATAGAGCATCATGTGCACTAAGGCTTTCTTCCTCCATTTCTCTCCATTTCTACCCTTATGGTCTATAGCCATGGTCTACAGCTCAGGATTCTCACATTTCTGCACAACTTCAGGCTTTCACAGAAACTGTTGCTCCTGATCAGCATCTCAAATGTCACATCCCCCTGGCCGTCCCCAGATGTAACATCAGAATATTTCATTCCTTCTGAAAGAGATCGAGAACTTTATTTGATCACGGGTGGAGATCAGCAAACAGTGTGCATCGGCGCCTGTTGGGGTCTGTCATCCCTTCCTGCAGTCTGGGTTGCATGCATGCACTCAATAGTGGCATGACTAAAAACGTAAGAACCGTGTCTTGGTATTTGATTATCAAGTAAGTAAGGGACACAGATTTCCTTAGGGCCTTTATTGACTCTGATTACGATGAACTGCGTAAATTTGATGGTGGGATAGTCAACTGACAGGTGGTAGACATCCACCATGGTATAAGTGGAGCTGAATCGTGATATTATGAGTTCTTTACTCACGGTTCTGGAGATCCAGATGTGGATCTCTCACGAACATAATCAAATTTCTAGCTTCGAGTGGGGTAGGTTTGCATGATGAAAGAATAATCACCGGTGATGATGTCGTTTGAGGACGGAAGTCTCTAGCTGGCCGTTCCTGAACAAATGTGGTAGGTAACTTTCCTACTAGTGACACCATTGAAATGGAATTGCACTCTCTTTGTATTTTCTCATTTCTTTTTAGCCTCAGGAGAAGTACATAATGAAAAAATGGCCCACGGGAGTTTCCAAGATCAACAAAGTTTGGTCGATTCATCTCAAGGCCAAAACCTTAAGAGCAGCCTCCTTGGCTTCAAGTACGGAGGAAATTCATATTTAAAGGATCTCTGGAACTGCACCTGGCCTGAATATTTCAGGTACCTAAAGTTCAGTACTTACAGTTCTTCCGAAACTTTTTGGTGCAATTTTCAATGAAAACGCACTTACCGAGGGTTGGCCAAGATTAGTCACGAGGATTGGTGCTGTGTAATTTTTTTATTGTTATAAAAACACGATGTAAATGCTGTTGTGCTCAGAAACTTTCTGCCTTGACCTCGAGAGTATAGGGTGACCTGCACTTGCCCAATAATCTGCAATTTGAAATCAGTGTGTGAATTTGTAACTCTTGCTATGTAGCTGGGAAGTGGACACAGTTCGTCCTGATAGGACATGAGCATTGATACTTACAAAGGTAGATATCACTGTTTTGACTACCGTTGTGTTGGTATAGGTCGTGTGGGTGGAGGATGATGAAGCAGCGACGACAGAAGCTGATGATGCAATATTTACAAGGTTTAGGATTCTAGCATTTATGTAACTGAAGGAACTCAACATTCTGTGTGCAATATTTCGGGAGCTCTAGACGATCGAGTTAAGTTCGCAATTTTTGCCTCCCTCTCATCCCTCAAGTAATCGCTGATTCCTGATCTGTCTTCGCTTAACTTTCAACTGCAAAATATTGTGCATGTTTTTCTGTGATTTAGAAGCAGATACCCCTCGTATTGACTATACATGTTTGCTAGTACTAACAAATCAAATACCTATTGATTTGACTGCATAATAACCAGTGTATGTTTAGTAAGTGGAGGAAGTGAAGCTATCTGGCACTGCTGTCACTGAATCTTCCTTCAACCTTCAATCAATCTTTAAGCAGTTTTCAAGCAAAATAATACTTCCTGAGAAAATAAGTAGGTTGTCTCTCGATTGAAAATCTTTAATTCCTCGTCACCAGAACATATTGTTGCTACCTCTTCTTTCTCTATTCATGCAACAAGGACAACAAAGAATTAACGCTGCTTTAAGCGATAGCTTCAGATAACCTAAAATCCTACAAGCAGTCGTACATTATTTATTTGTCGTCGCTGAACTTTGAACATCAGGCTTTTGGAACTCTCGCTCTGTTTTTTTAAGAGGGCACCGTTGATATTGACGACACATGGATCCCTTCACCTACAAAGCCAAATCTCATTAGTTTTGACTGCATTGAAACTGCCTGGAAGTTACATGATTGATTAGAGTAAGATGAGGTAGCAACCATCGATGAATTTAGATATCATCAATCAGGCAGTTACTAACGCTTCCATGCGAGGAGAGCGTTTGTCACTGCCTGATTGAAGACTTCAATGCAAACTCAACTCCTTTTTTAAAAGCTATCGATCGGCGAGCTTTGATGTTTTCAGTGCAGTGCCGAACAACAACAATGTCAAAGCTGCTGCAGGACCTACAAATGCACGCTCTCATCACTTTTGTTCAGATGCGAGGGACAGACGAAGAAAATGCTTCACCTCGAGCACCTCAAGTTTCATGTGGTCAATGCTGGGGTTCTTCACATTACTCGTTTTTGGGCAGCTATCGAGCCACTCGTTAAAGTCTACTTACGGTCGAGAGATCTTCGTGATTTGGCTTTTGGAGTGTGTGAATTTGCCATTTCTCGATAAGGACACCGATTGTCAGCAGACGTTGGTCTGAACTACCATATTTGCATGTACACTGTCCAGAGTTTACATATCTGTTTTGCAGTTCCTTGTCTTTATAACTTCTCCATTAACACCTCACCATATTAATCGCATGTTTTATCCAGTTATTCCTACAAATTTACCCTCAATCTGGCCCGAAAAGTATGTGTCAGCATTAAAACAAATGTATCGAAATAAAAACATATCGCGTAATTATCAATATTCGAAACCTTAAGCTATCATGTCGATGAGTTTGTGTAGATTAATCTAAGTTATTTTCGTCAAGTATAATATAAATAATTTATATTCAATTTTGGGAATCTAATTTAATATTTTCGTCATACAATATACATGAGTATTTCTTTTTATTCTAATCTGAAAGTGAACAATATTGCAATCTAAAACATCTGAAGTTTAATACATATTTTGACAAACTATGACTTAAAAATTATCTCGATTATCTCAAATTGCATTCTTTCAAGAATTCAACAGAATAAATATGCGATTAATCTATCTCCATATACCAATTCATCTTCACAGATGTTTTAGAACAAAATCAATATGGAATTGATCATCATTTTTGTGGATACAATGCAAATCTTAAATCATGTCTCTAATCGATTTACAATCTCTAGTGATTGATTGCGTTATCAATTATTTTCAGTGTATAATACTCATTTTGATTTAATTTTAAAACAATGATAAGCAAAAGATAAATATTTGTAAAATTTTTCTTTAAAAGATTCTGATTTCCACAAATATATTCTGAATATTCAAGGATATATCCTTTTCTTGTAATGAAGAAATCTAATAATATCTTCAACAAATTCCATACTCTGATCCTTGTTTTCCAATGACATATTTCAAATTCCAATAAATTCATTATAAAAATTTCTAAATCGTATGTTTATTTATGACAAAATTTGAAATGTGTTTAGAATCATAGTCTCAAAATGTTTAGAAAAATTTATACACTCTTGATCTTAAACTTAAACATTTTTGATATTCAAGTGTTTGATAAACTTATTCTTTGAGTTATTGGCGTTGTATTGTTAAGTAAAATTAATTATTATAATAATTTTATCACCTTGCTGATGAAGCTAAAGAATTCAAACAGATTTTGAGAGGATATTTAGTTTCATTCACGGACTTTGTTAGTTTTTACATTGACATCGTATTTAAACAAAAACTTGAACTACTTATACATATCAATCTGCTTAAATTGTAATATTTAAAACTATAATTTTTTATTTTAAGAAGAATAATACTTTTCAGAGCAATGCAAGAGAAGAGAAAAATTAACATGAGGTTGAAAGCTCATTAAGTTGAAATTAATTTCGGAATTGGCAACAAGACATGAGTTACTGCCTTGTTGGAGGAGGAGGAAACTTGAACTGCAATGTATAGCGCTCCCGAGATATGCATGCATATTTACAAGCTTTCACGAGTAGCTTCCTGAGCTCCATAAATCTTACATCTTGTCGTTTTTGCTTCATCTTCCTCCACCACGCAACGTAAACCAATACTAGTGCGGTGAGAAGAGTGAAAACTAGCTTTGTAATTACCAGCAGACACGTGAATTTATTCAACAATACTTGAATCAATTGTCAACATGGTTGGCAGCATCCTCACCAAAGTATTGGAATTCCTTCTCTCCTCATTTCTCAACATATATACGCCTGCTCGTTCAGATTTAGTGGAGTTTTATCAAAAGGAAGTCTTCTGTATCTTATATATTGATTCTTATATCCAAGTCATGAGCTCTGCTACTGATTAATCTCCGTCCAACAACCGTATGCAGCAGCACATTAACAACTGCTCTGCATGTTGCCCAGACCTTCATATCTCCGACATTTCGAAAACCTGTACCGTAATCTTCCAACCCCAAATCTCCCGTGACAGTGCCCGAATTCAATTCGTTAGTCCAAAACGCGAAAAAATTGGCCAGACTTGTACATGATCACATTGCTTAATTTTTCTGCAACCTGCCGATACACCCACAGAGAAAGAAAAGAAGGCAAGAGTGCCACCTGAATACCAGATCACACCAACCACAACGTGAACTGCCACTTTAGATATATTATTTCTTCTCGATCACAGTTCTTTCTCAACTCTCGGTGGCTCCTATAGACGAAGGGAGTTGTGCACGAAGAGATTTGGCCTGATGATTATTCACACCATCGAAGAAACTCGCCTGTTAGGAAAAGGCAAAATCCAATGCAACGAACCACGTAATGCCGAAAACATCACTTTTCATAAGCTACTGCAGTAACGACGAGTTCTAACGTTCGCCTCTCTGCGAGAACCCGAACTCGAACCTGCGAGTAATGGTCAACCGCATGGCAGAACTGCGCCAGTTACGGAACTGATTCCTGGAAATACAAATTCAAGGCCTTCGGATCCACAGGATCCACGCTCTATCTAGCAGATTCTCCCTCCCGCTGTGCTGAAGTCCTCCAGTCAACTTTACCGACTCCCGGACGCAAGTTAGTTTCCATTTGTACCGCAGTAGCAGAACCGCAGCCACACAGGAATCCGAACCGACTGCAGCCATCGCTGCGGTACACTCTCTCTCGATCTCTCTGGCTTCTAACTACGTATGCTGTCCACACTGCGCTAGAAGATGGTCACCGACTCACTCCGTCGTTGAATTGCGTTCCATGTACTGGTTCCGTTATGTACGTCGTGGCTGCCGCAGTAGCCATCCATCGCCAACGCAACGAAGTTGGGCCTCTGCGTTCGGTGCCGCAGCCGCAGTAGGCCCGGCCCCTCGATACCTCGACCACGAGACACGATGCCCGTGACTGCGTGCGTGCGCCTGTGGCCTGGGGCTTTGAGACGAGGGGGAACACAGTGATGGTAGACGAGCACGGGGAGCCTCAGGAACGTTTTCCGCCCGCGAGTGCTTACTTGACGACCGCGCCAGCAGAGAAAGGAGGGGACGTGCGGGCGTTGTCGTCTGCTTTTCTCGCGCTTTGTTTGTTGTTATTGGGAGGGGACGGGCGAGCGTTGACATCTGATGTTCTCGTACTCGTCGTTATCGGGAGGGATACGCAAGTTCTGATCAGTGCGAACGTGCGGGACTCGGATTCGAGACCGCTGATTCTCGACGACTGGCGCAATGCAAGCGCAGCGGTGGATGAATTAAGGATCGAAAGGAGGAGCTCGGTGGATTTGGATTTAGTTGGAAGCGAGCAGAGAGTGCGAAAGTGATGGCAGCCCTTGACGCAAACGGGAGACTAGAAGATATTCTCGTTTCAAGAAGGTGCGAATTGCAGATTTTGTCGTAATGCTGTTAGACTGTCGCCACCACAACGACGGCAACTGATGTCGCTGCTGCAAGAAGATCCTAGGGTTTGCGGCGACAGTACACAGCATCTTGTACGCAGTGAGACGTGATCGACGCCATAAGACGACGAGCTCGATATATCGGTCAATCTTGAAACGGGTGCTAATTAAAGACCGAGCGAATTTTATGTGTGCCTGCTGCAATTTTATGACACGACAATCTCTCTCGTAACTGTTTCATCCGATAAACGAAATTCCGGCTGACTTCGGCAGAGACAATTTGCAAACGATGGTGCGGGATAGCGCAGATCTCGTCGTCGTTGCGAGTTTCAAGCTCCGCGCAGCCGAACGAACGTCGTGCACCGATGCTTCGGTTCGCAGTTGCGAGGTCATGCTGAGACAGACCACTCGTCCCTGAAGAAGGACTGGGCTCAATCAGTCTGCCGTTATGACCATGGACCTCATCCTCCCCGACTGCAATCGAGCGTCGCCGCCGACCAGTCTGCAGCTCTGTATGAACCTCGTAACCGCTGGTGTCGACTCGAAGTATTCAGCATATTCTGCTTCCGGTCTAGACCTGTACATCGAGCTCGGGACCAAGCTCAATGCGATGGCAATGGCAATGCCAGCGCCAGCACCAGCACCAGCAGCACTGGCTTCTCGAGAACCGGAGGCCAGCAGCAGGCCCGATCATCTCAATCTTGCCTTCGAGAACTCCGTGGAATTGTCATCCACCCGCACTTATCTGCATACCCATGACCACCGACAATTTCGCCTTCAAGCGCAGGAACACAGCGCTCGTCTTTCTGCAGCTCGAGAGGAGCTCGAGGAGGATTCGCAGTCGGCGCACGAACCCTCGACGAGTCGGAACGACGACGACGACGAAGAAGCTGCCGTTACGGGCCGTTCGAACGGTGGTGGTGGTGGCGGCGGCGGCGGCCTGAAGCCACTTCTTGCCTGTCCTTCTTCGAACATTCTGGCTCAGATCGAATGCTTCGACATGGCCGACGTCTCAGCAGCCTGCCACCTTCTCGAATTGAGCAGCTACTCCGGCAGCGTGGCCTCGAGCGACCGAGACCAGTCTTCAGAATTCTTCGATCTCGACCGTGGTCGTGCAGATTCGCCAGGCCACTTCTCCTACTCCGAACCCGACTCGTTCGAGGCTGCTCCCGAGTACGAAGAACTGACCGTGACTCGAATGGTGGACAGATTTCAAGCAGCTCCCGAAGGTTGGCCATGGGGCGCCGATGATGCAAAATTGCACAACATGAGCACCGATGCCAGCACGTTTCGGAAGAGGAGAGTGAGGGCCAATCTGATCAAGCATTGCCATGATGATGCCGGCCCCATCTATTTCGACGACTGGGATTTTGAGGTTGACGTCTTGGAGAGACCGCCCTGCAAGCGTCGTAACACGAGGGTTGACATCATCTATAAAAGATCCATACAAATGTAAATTTTTCGCGATGCTCGTAAATCTGAACCATGTGACAAAGTGTATGTGACTCGTGTATCATAAGGTTTTATGCCGTGGGCTTCGGACCCTGCACTGAAGTTTGGATGTTTATTTCTGAGAATTTTGCAAGGAACCATGATATCGAAGGCAAGCCTCTTAAAGTGATTCATGCTTGATAAAAATGTAAAACATTGACCGCATTTTACATCGGAAGATTGAATGCACAACAGTCAGACTTGGCCATGGAGCATATTTTGATACCACCAGAGCGAAGGCGATCCAATAACAGCTTTCTTAACTACAAGACATTAAAATGTACGTTCAATGAACCAGTTCTGGTTCTAGTTGTGATAACATCTCAACGTTTCTCCTTTACTTTGTTAGGAAGCAGAGATTAATCTTCAAATATTTCACGGTCATAATTTGCTGAAAGTTGAATGTGACTGCAGAATTCTCTTTGTTTTCACTTTATATCACTTTAATATATATATATATTGATTACAAAGAGAATTCCTAAGTTGAACACTGAGTATTATTCTACCAAAGATATCTCTGGCTTATTAAATTGTAAGCTCTTGAGTTGTTCATTTGAATATGAGACATGGATCCTGTATTATGATTTTTTTGAATTTCTTTCTTTTTTTCTACCTTCATACATATCTATTTGTAAAATCAAGATATGGGGTAAAAAATAAGAAGTTTATATAGAAACTATGATACTCAGCGTTTGATAGTTATATGTCCAAGTGAGGTGAGTTACCTTCCAGATGTGACGAGATACTTGATGTACAGTCTTGTACCACCATTGGTTTCTTTGTGCCATTTTCTTATTCTAAGTACGCAAATCATTGTTTTACTTCTTTTATGCAGCCACCAAAAGCGATGTATCATAATCTTATGTTTATCACAAAGGCGTTTAATCCTTCGGGGAAAAATTCTTGAGTCAACCACTTAGGATGTGCACGTCATATCAACCTTTTTCAATTTCAAAAAAATGTAATCCACCCACGACTCCAATACAGTTTGATTTATCCATAATCAGAACTGAGACTTTGTTTTCTTAACTTGTAGGTCAAAATACATAAATTACGCTTGCAGGAATGTCTTACTCTGTGTCGCAGTGCAGTCGCAGTGCATTGTTTCGCAACTGATGAGTATCCATTTCATTGTAATGCAGGTGTCAAATTCTGCTAGACAGAGAATTCCTGGAAGAATCACTCTATTAGAAATGTGGAACCCACCTATGGAACCAATCACGCTCTGTTCAGTTCTCAGCAACGAAATGTAGGAATAGATAAATATATTTATTTATTTATTTATTTTTATTACATGTTTTCAACCCACTTTGTCATTGTACAAGTATTTCCTTCAGTATAGCTTTATGCGGTGAGCCAAGCAGAAAGTCGTTCTACACAGTCTACCATATAGGAGTTGGCATATTCTCATATAATTTCTCCACCCCATGGACACTAAACTATAAAACTGACTAAATTATTTAACGAAGTTCTCTTTAGGAAATAATTGTACAGTCAGAATCTTTTTTATTTACGGTTAAGAATCCTCATACTATTATTTAAGCTGGTGTATCCATATTAGTAGAAAATTGAGAATGAGTGGGCGAAAGGTAATCACTTGATCAATAAATCAAACGACGACAACCTGCATTTTTTCCACAAATTTCTAAGCATCAGTCTCTTTGACGGTTCCACCAATCACACCAAATGCATCTGATTCTCCAGATTTCAAGGTTCAGTGTCTCAAAACAATACAAACTACGATAGGAGATTCCCAACGATGATCACCGATAAAGACTAAAAATTGAGTAAAATTTGGTGTTTCTATGCTGCTCTTTCACTTCTACGATATCTAATTTAAATCGATGTGCATTGAATCAGCAATTATTCAATCTACTTCAAGGTCAATTACGAGCACCAAGATGTGCCCCGAGTTAGTGAGACAATCTCAGGAGTCATATCTATGGTCAGCAGATTCGACTATTCCTGTCACATGTAAGCATGTGAGAAGAATAGAAACGAGAAGAGGTATTGAACTTGCATAGCATCACTCATTACAGTGAAACACACGAGAGGGTGTTTAGAAAGCAGAACCAGCATCTCATTCCATTTCAATTCACTTCAATTCACTTCACTTCACTCTCTTCGTTACATGGTGTAAAGCCTGAAGGATGATTGCTATATTGCCCGAGACATGGACGCCAATTGATCGCTCCGAGTTACTGCTTCATTTTTGCACTTCCCTCTCCGTACATGAGCGAGCAAAAATTTACTGAAGCTACCGAACGCGGCACTGCTGACGGTTGATTGTTGATTCTACTTGATCTGAGCTCACACTGCAGGCATGATATCAGGCCGTAAGGTCCCAAGGAGAAGTCGCCAAAAACAGTTATTGTAGGTTCAGGTTGCCATTCAGGTCCATTCTGTGCCTGCTCTCGGGCTCGTACAACAACACACTGCACGCATGCATGCTGCCAGGTTTACAGCTCGGTGAGACTGCTCAGGTCAACTTCCTTGGGCTGAGGCCATCGCATTTCGTGACTGCTCCTTGCAAGATTGCAATGCTCTCCCAACCACATACACCACACTGCACTGTCTGCGTGAGACTGTTCAGGTCAACTTCCTTGGGCTGAGGCCATTGAATTTCGTGACTGCTCCTTGCAAGATTGCAATGCTCTCTCAACCACATACACCACACTGCACTGTCTTCGATCACAAAGAGATTCAGATCTGAATGTCCGCCCAGTCAAGACCGGGATTTTAAGTCGCTAAATAAAGAGAAATTCCATCACATCCTTCCCGACTCACTTCTGTTATTTTTCATTGCCTCGGGAACAGACTCCAAACATTACAATGTGTGTTTGGGTAACACCGGATGACGAGTGATGGACTGTCTTACTAATCTTCATGATTCGCGGAGGCAATTCGGAAAGAAACTAGATTCCTTTCGATGGCTCTTGGATTCGTCGTAGGAGACAGGGAATTGACCGAAAGTACGACGGCTCATTCCAGCTTCCATTCCCTGACTATCAAGTCCCGCCTGTACAACAATTTCACAATGCACAGCTGAAGAAGTCAACATCCAACCTGAAGAAAAAAATTTCGGATCATATTCGACGGAGGATTATGAAGTTTGCAGACATCATCAGGCTTAATGAATGGAACGCACTTGAACGAGTCCGGGAGGAAGTGGACCAAATCAACCTTGAAATTCAGAAGTACCTGTTGTAAAATCACGGAGACAAGTTAGCACAAATCGCTTGACGACGAACGGCAGAGTTGGAGATGGCACGCGCGGCACGTAACGAAGCTCTTACTCGCATACCAGAACATATGAAAGTTTAATCTGCAAAGGACGTCGAGGCTTATAACAAAAATACAAAGTGTGCACGATCATTAGACTTTTCACAAGACTCAACTAATGGTCTTCCCTGATATAGACTTTAATTAAGCCATTTCTCAGACATCTACGCTCATCTGCCTGGTACAAGGGCTTCTGCTGGGACTGTGCTCCTCTGGACGGTCATGTGGACGTCTTCATTCGCCATTCGTTGAAATTTCTCCAATTCAACGAATGCGAGGCAAGGACATCTCAATAATTTTACCTTTTCCAGGCCGAATGTACAACGTACAATGAGATAAATTTTCCTCGATATTGATGCCTCGATTCTTGGCAGCGACGCCAATCACTCTTCTGCTTCATGAACGTGATGGGTTTCTCAAGTGAGACTCAGATTAAACTACAAAATTGGAAGTGGTTTTCTTTTCATCGAAGAGAAGTTGTAGGTGAGCTTTGGGGGCATGAGGAAGAAAGCTAGTCGGAAATAGGCATGTGCCTCAAATTTAGAAGTAAAACTTTTCTTGACACGAGGCTTGACTACAAGAAGCAAACTTTGCCCCTCGATGGCAGCGTTGACTGCACGGCCTAGTGATTTGAATCCCGAACATGGCAATGAATCAGAGTAAAGACTGCAGAAATATGAGATGGTGATAGCAATATATATTTCCAACATAAATAAATAGAGGCCATGTTGAACGTGTGAACACAGTGCATCGGGATGACATATTTTCATTGGACACGTTAATTGATATTCTAGAGTCACACTAAATGAACATTATCCTCTGAGAGTACATTATCCATACAAGGACGAGAGCACATCAAAGCATATTCCTGGAACAAGCCATCAACGAGGCCAATGACAATTGAACGTCGTCTATTTACGAGTTGAATATGTTTTTAGCCTGCTCTGGCGCTTGCCATCCAGCGCAGTTTCTCATCCTCACTTGAACGGATGGCGGAAATATAATTCTTCATTTTCAACGTCCATAGATCTCGAGCCAAAGGACCCGGGATCTTTTGACCGTAGAACGACGTTGATGATTTGTAGTCTCCGCCACTGTCAGAGGATTTCTTCTCAGAGCAAGTTCTTCTTTCTCCCGCGTGTAAATAAATTTAGTCTGTCCATTTGTATGGATCATTGATGGTGCTGAGAAGAGGCAGAATTAAGTAGTCACTGGGTTTTGGATATATGGATCATGGCACGTAAACTAGGGAATGCTCTAATGAACACATATCATGGCACGTAAACTAGGGAATGCTCTAATGAACTCATATCGTGGAAATGAAGAAACATTGGTGAACAAAGATTTTAAGAAGTTCATGGAATGTTCCGTGTACAAGAGGGCCCGAAGATCAGGATGCAGAAATTGCGAGGGAGCAAATGCAGGAACTGAAGTTGAAGCAGAGTCTCTTTCAGATCCTATAAAAGCCTTCAGAATAGTGATGATCGTGTTTCGGCAATGCAATACTGAACCGAAGTAAACCAATTGTGCTCTGACTGACTCAACGAATCTTGGACTCGGTCAGCTCTAATGCAAAAAGAAGCATTTCTTTTCAGATATAGTATGAGAGGCGAATTTCTTAAAGCGAAACGTCAGGATACGTATTTTCGAGGAGCAATGAAATGGGCAGACAGAAAGATTGATGTGGGTGAAGAGGAGAATGTGGTAGCACTCACTGGTCCCAAAACAATGAGGCTATCAAATCAGTGTCCTAGTTATGAACAGAACTGTATGCAGGCTTCGTACTCATCCCGAGCTCTATTTTACGTTTTTTCCAAAGCTCGGCCGAGGAAATGACAAAACTCAAACGATGCTGAAGCTTCACATCAGCGGTGATCGTTGTAGGTCTCGGTCGCTCCTTCGAAACAGTTCGGCAAACTTGGTCAGAGTATTACCGAAAGAAGAGAGTCAAATCTCCCAAGTAACATTGAAACATTAACAAACTCGGCATAAAAGCGTTGTCAACTTCACTGCACTGATCGTTCTTGCGTCGTTCTCTGAGTCCAACGGGTGGCACAAGCATCGTCACAATGCCTCCTCGTGGCTGAGTTGCACATGGTCAAGACTGCAGCTGTTGTCATGGCCCATGTACAGCAGAACTATCGTCATATATAATTAGCTGCACACTTCTCGCGATCATTCTGATCTGATAATGAAACTCTACTCTGTTCCTTTCTATTAATTCTCTTCTGTTTTGTTCTCTTCATTCCAGCGCAGAGGAATTTCGCTTCTCCAGATTACAGTTTCTTGGTGCTTTCCATACGGTCAATTCCGATTTTGCCTGACGTTTGTCTCGGCCTCCTTTCTGAATCAATCTGACACATGGTTCGGGTACTAATTATAGAACCTGTTTCGGCCCGACTGTGGAATTTCATTTGACCGAAATTGGCTCGATTACCTTCAATTCAAACCAGTGATCAGACAAGTTGATGAATGCCGTATAGATTTGGAAGGGTGGAAATCCCCACAGAAGGTGCACCAAATGTAGGAATTGCTGTTGTTGCTGCATTTGCACTGTACAATCATGAGCGATCAAAGTGGGAGAGAATAAAACCAAGCAGTCTCTTACGGGGAGGTCATCCTTAAGACCCCGAACAAGTTGCAGTTCCGCAACCTGTGATTGAAAGCAGCTGGTTACCCTAGAGGTTTCATTGTATCTGGTGTGGATTAAATTGAGTGCCTTGCGAATGCAGCCAACAATTGTCTGCGGCTTCTTGGTGTCCCAGTTCTTAGAGATGCCTCCAGCTGCAGGCAGAACAGTCTTTCGTCTACTGCCCGAGCTGGAGAGACCTTCGAAGTTAGATACACCAAACAGCTGTACTACAAGTGGCAAGTCATTCTCGACCACGTGTGACATGGATCGACGATATAAAGCTGTCTGACCCTATCCGTCCTTCCTTCCTTCTAACTTATCTGGAATCTGACATTCCTTTAGCCAGGCATCGAGAACTGCAGGACTCAAACATCAACAAACATGCTCTGCAACTATGGATGCCTTGGCGATCGGCCTCGGATGTTCTTTTCCCTACTGTACGAAAGCCTCGAATAGTTGTCTTGTGACCATCGTTGAGACAACATCGATTCGCATCGGAGATCAAGCATTCGTCCTGATCCGTGCAGAGTTTACTCAAGGCAAAAAATTTCTGCGAAATTTACTGAAAGGCTGGCTTTACACTACCTGTGATCGACACAGATTTTACCCCAGCCCAAAAAATCTTAAACTGACTTTTCAACTTGTCCATCGGCAGACCGTTTGTCAGATTTTATCTGACATATAAAGAACGACACAGAACCTTCATCTTATATATTACCCTTTCTCTAGCCAATCAGTGGACTTTTAGCTTCAAATTTATAGGTCTGAGAAGTGTGCACCACAGACGTTTTCGTGTGCTGAAATCGTCAAGCCTTTTTAATCGTTATTTTGATCCTTGTATTATGGGTGTTAGTTCGAGCTGCTCTCTTGATAAAAGATTGCACACCTCATCTATATCAAAATTTCGTAGCGAAATTTAGCCACCCATCCACTGAGCTCTAAAGTAACGGATGCGAACGAAGGAACAGACATGATTAGTTATGTCGGTTACAAGTTGTGCCCATCCCTCATTTTCATGCGGAGGACTCGGTCTTGCAATCACGTGCTGTTAATCCGCCGCTTTCACGTTTCGGCTCAGGGTAGGTCAGTGCCAAGAGCCTCATGATCAAGCTGCTCGCTTGTGCTCAGCGCTTGGCACAATGCACACACAGAGCAAGACTACTGGATAGGAAGACTTTCGCATTTAAAGAGATGTCCCTCAGCCATGCTCGCTATCCGTTTCATATTGCACATGAAACGGATGAAGATTGTTTGAGATCATGTCGTCCATAAACGAACCTCTGTGACACTCACTATATGCATCGCTACCAAGTCAATGCGAATCCAAAGCATTGAACAGGAGCTGCACTTCTCATGATCTTCGCCATCATGAGAACACTGGAGAATGTGTGAGACGAGCTTCGCTGTTGAGTTGCTGGAATTGAATTCCTATCGCGTACTGACATCATCCACTACACTACAGTACGGTAGCTTGGAGATTCCTCGCGAAAGCGGGTAATAAAGATGACGACAAGCGCACGATGGCGCTTCCCGCGTGAGCTCTTAGATGATCATTGCGAAATCCGCTACCCATCAATCGACCCTCGCATTGATCTCATCCCAGGCCATCGAGTGATCCGAAGCCAACCGGAAGGTGAGCATTAAGTGAGGATAAGCTTATTAGAAAAACAACGAGATTGGAAATCTCGTTGTTGAAAATCTCGTTGTTCCAATCTCTCCAAACTCTTCTCCACAATTACAATTTTTTCGGCATCCCACTCTGTAATCTGATGAATCCTGGCTATGGAAACAAGGCATTTTCATCTAACCGTGGACGAGGTAATCCATAGAAAAATCTAGCGTCACTGTCACTAGGCAGTTCCAGTCCAGGCACGAGATCAGAATCACAAAGCTCTCGACTGACTGCGACTTTGGCGGATCTATCAGTCTTAGACCAGTCTAGCAGCAACACTACTATGCCAGTGTCTGCACAGAGTCCATAGCTCTCCTTGAACTTCACATGGATCTTGACAGTAGAGTATCTGGTAAACGACAACAGGCGGATGGAATGGTCGCAGCTCCACCAACTCTGTTCTGTGGAGGTACTGCTCGTCCTCGTCCTGGCTTCAGAAGCTCCATACCCTGCTGAAAGCGTGGGAGGCTCGTGTTCTCGTCCTGGAGCAGCAGATCAGAGTCTTCACCACCAGGGAAACAAAGAGTGACGTCGGAATTGTAGTTGCACAGAGATACGGATGCGGAATCAGAGACCATCATAGGAAAGCGCCGTTGAAACGACTCGGCTGTGGTGGGTCCGGCCACTCGAGAACCATCAATAGCAAGCAGGTAATGCTGTCCTGATGATGGCGGATCTCCCGACGAGCTCACTCTCTTGCATTATATTAATTCTCTGGCAAGAATGTCCCGTCACAGCGACCTCCACGGCTCAATATTAAACTCCTCGTTCCTCTTGCACCGCAACACCTTCTCGTCTCGCCTCGCGCACTTTATTGCTAACCTGATGCCTTTACTGTTTACTACAAACCTGGTGTCTCAGACACCTGATTTCGGGGTATGATAAATCTACTGCCAGAAGTACGAGCCCTACGAGCGCTTTCTGTAGGTTCTATATACGAGAACTGCGCCGACGTCCTCGTGCTATGAAGCTCGTCCTAGCGTCTCCCGGCATCCATCCTTCTTCGAGCGCAGGACCTCGAAAAGCAGCGCTTCTGCGCGGGCAGGCGGCTTCGCGTTCAGGAAATTTCCCTCGAATCTCCCCACAGCTTTGGAGCGAGTGACGGGAGAGCTGCGCCAGTGCCCGCAGGACTCATGTGCAACAGTGGACTTTGTAGAAACTGACCGTAGCTCGAATCTTAGGGAGAAGACTTCTCCCGGAAAACAGCATGAAACTGAAGACCCAAGGAAGACCAAAAGGAGACCAAAGGGCGGCGATGGTGGACTCCGGTAGTTTATAACGGGTTGGCAGTTCGTTTCATCGACAACTTCCACCTTCGAGTCGAGCAAGACCCCAAGGCATTACGAGTCTGATTTCAGAGCATTTCAGAGGATTTTGGAGAATTTTGGAGGATTTCAGAGTTTGCGCAGCGCAGAGAGCTCAGTGATCCGAACGAGAAGTGAAGATGGAGTTGACGAACGGGACGACCAGGAGGGCCCATGTGCTCATGGTGTGCGTGCCGTTTCCGGGGCACGTCGCACCTTTCACGCAGCTGTTGTACCATCTGAGCTGCCACGAGAATCTCAAGGTGACAGTCATGGGACACAAGGCCAGGAACGCCGAAATGATCAAGCTGTACGAGAAAGGAGAATTCAAAGGCCTCGATATACACTTCGAGACAATCTTCGCCGATCCTCCAGTTTACCCATCCGACCCCAAGTTCCCAATCCGCGCTGCATTGTGCGCCGATCAGATGTTTGTCGAGTTTGAGCCCATCAGGCGACGCCTCGTCGCCGAGAAGGACAATGTGGGAGCCCCCACTTCCATCATCTGCGACATGTTCCTATGGTTCACCAAGGTCAGTACCAACCACTCCTCCACTCCTCCACTCCTCCCTCCCTCCACTTCTCCTTCTAGATCTCGTTCTTTTCCACTCCGGTGAAATGTGTGACCCTAGACGGATACTCCTCGAGGCCGAGCCGACAGAAGCTCAGAGCACAGGCTCCGATTACAAGCTGCTGTGGTGGAGGGTCTGTCAAAATCATTCAGAGCTTTCTAGAGCTCGGTAGGAGTTGCTCGTGCTTTGCTGCCTTGAATTGGTGTGGACGCTTTTCTGCAATTAGCTCCTGACTTGCATCCATGGGTTGATCCACAGGATGCGGCTGACGAGATGGGGGTTCCCTGGTACCCATTCTTCTCGACTTCTCAGTGGTTCGGGTATTGTGCCTACATTGGGGATGAGTTGGCGAGGAGGAATTTCCATCCTCACCATTCGGAAGAGAAGGACCAGAGGATAGACATTACAGGCCTGGAATTCGCTTACGTCCACGACATTCCATCCGAGGTGCTGGAATTCCCGGAGTTTTACGCCAAAGTCACCGATCGCTCCTTCAGGGCGACTGGAATATTGTGCAACACAGCCTACGAACTGGAAGGCAGTGCCGGAACTCTGATGGCTACGAAAGCTCTGGTGCAACGGAGTGGGAAGAAGAACTTGAAAGGCGAGGTATGTATCGATCAGTGGCAGCATCCCTCGTTAGTTTGTGCAATCGGGATTGAATTAAGTATCTCCCCTTGAGCTGCTTCACGGCACACCTAAACCAATCGGTAATTTCGCTCGACATTTCACGAGGCAATTGTCATATTCCTTGTACCCTTGTTTCTCATCGATCTTTACCTCGATGACGCTCACTTGCAAGCTGGTGATCGATTGCAGGAGGCGCAGATCATTCCAGTGGGACCTATCGCGCAGATTCCAGGCTTCGGAGTGCAGTACAGCTTGAGAGACCAGCCCTACGAGTGTTTGAAGTGGCTGAACGCGCACACGGAGAAGTCAGTGCTGTACATAGCGTTCGGAAGCTTGGGCAACATCGTGCCGGAGGTATTTCACGAGCTGGCGCTGGGACTCGAGGCCGGCGGGGTGCCATTCCTCTGGGCCCTGAAGCTGACACCGGCTCAAAAAGAGGAGCTTCTTCCCGAGGGATTTCTGGAGCGCATTCAAAGCAGCGGCATGGGCTTCATCGAATCGGGCTGGGCTCCTCAGACGCAAATCCTCATGCACCCCGCCGTCGGAGGCTTCCTCAGCCATTGTGGCTGGAACTCCACCTTGGAAAGCCTGTGCGCCGGTGTCCCCATGATCACATGGCCCCTCTCCGCCGACCAGCCGATGAACGCCAGGTCCGCAATTCCCCCGAATCAAATGTCCAAAATTTCAGCCATTGTCAGCTCTTGCCACCAGATAGTACCTGCAGTCGAATTCCCTGACTTTCCTTCCCTCTATGCTCAATCCCGTGAAAGACTGTACGAGCCATTAATCGGTGGACTCTCTAACGCGAATGATATACCGCCCCTGTGCAGATTTTTGGTGGACGTGAAGAAGGTGGCAGTGACGGTGTTGAGCGGGTCGGCAGATGAGAGCGTCGTGACACACGACGACATCAGCAAAGCAATCAAGAGGCTGTTCGGGGACGAGGAAGGAAAGCAGATCGCGAAGAACTCTCTGGAGCTGAAGAAACTCCTCGCCAGCTTGGTTGCAGAGGGAGGGTCCACGTACAAGGCCCTGCGCTACTTCATCCAAGACCTCGTGATGGTGTAAGCAGCAGCAGCAGGGCAGCCGCTCCACGTCCGTGGCACGGACGCGGATCTCGGACCTTCACAGGTTTTCAATCCATCCATGGCATAAATTGAACTGAATGGTGAAGACCAGGCTATTGACACCTCCGTTCACAAGCCCTCGCTCCCCAATCCGACATCCACAGCTCACGATCCCAGGCATCAAATTCAATCGCGTAGGATATTTCAGCTCGGTGCCACGAGCATCATTTTGTATAGGCAGAGCAATCTGAAAAGCACATTTAACGCAAATGACCATGCGCTAGTTTTGGTGAGTCGTTGCAGACTTGATAGAAAACTGGCAGGACCGTAAAGATTCGCACTAGTCCAGTGCCCGTCAGTGCGTACATCGTTGGGTTTTAATTGGATGCAGAGAACCAAGGATCTTTCATTACAAGGGTCACCAGAAGGAGGAGGGACCCAACAGCCCCTGCGGCCAGGTCGAAGTAGTGAGGCGTAATTGATTGGTGAACCTTCAGTGCGTAGAATATTGATCCCGTGCTCGAAATCACCGAGGACGCGAGTACAGTGCCTATTCTTCGAAATGTGTACCTTGTGTAGAAATATTGAAACCACAATTGTGTCAATTAAACCACAATATTGTGTCAGCCTATGGGTTGCTTTTTACGTGTGATACGCCCAGACTCGCTCTCTCCGTGACTTTCCTGTCCTCTCAATGTGAGAGGTTCGGAGTTATTGTGCATGTCCAGCCTGCTAACGTGATGGTTGTGACGGACGAGCAAATGATTGTGACGAACCCCGTGGTTCTGTTTCTGTTGGCTGCTCTCTCGCACGTGAATCTAGTTGTGCAGCTGACACTCCTGACAGAAGCCTCACCCGAGAAACGAGGGCGTACGGACTAAACTCGGCCTCGGCAAGCCAACCAATCCAGCCTTGGCGACTGCACGAGGGGCAAAAGAAGCATTAAATCTGCAAATCTCTCGTGACACCTTTCCTTTCGGTTCTTGATTGACATGTATCTCGTTCTACCTTTACCTGTGGTTCTTATTTACGAGGGGAGGGGCTAGTTATCCTCACTTAACGCTATTTAACACAACACTACTATTCGCTTTTCTTTTAAGTATTTTATAACTACTATTTTAGAAGTAGATGCTACTCACGGTATCAACCTATCAGATGACAGTTTATAGTAAAGTGAAGGCTAATTAGCCCCTCCCTTTACGAGACTTCAATTATATAGAACAGTAGATGTTCACGAGATCCCGTGTTCACTCTAGTACTTGTGTTCCTAGAGCTAAGTGCCAAATGGTTGGACGAAACCAATGGGGAACATGAGGATAGGCCCCAATAGCATGGGAATATGGGAAAGAAGCCGTTATCGGGCTACAATGTCTGAACAATTGCTACCTGCCCGAGACCCCGACAAAATTGACGTGTATTCTCCACGTAAGTCCAACCTCCTGCAGACAACATGAATATAAGAAGCATCACCTTCATCAGGTAAAATCTCCACTGGCATCATATTCGTTGATTATTCGTGAAAGAATAAGATTTTGGATTCATCACTCAACCTAAACTCCCCTTGCTAATCCAGCCCTTCTCTGTTAACGTACTTCTACTAGAAAAGCTTATGATTTTGGCTCACTTGGATAATACTTCCCCAATTTACGTTTAAAGCTCATGCAAGTATGATGTACGTAGACTTGGGACTCCACTATCCTTTGATTTGAAGAGAAGTGTTAGTCTACTCTTTTCATAACACTCCTCAGAGAAGCTTTCGATGTCGTTTACAAAAAAATAACAAGTTATAAAAGGTCAAATAACTTACTCGCTTTAATTATTTAGATTGTTATTCCAAAAAAAATAGAGATATCGATGCACTGAAAAGTTCCATCCAAATAAAAGAATTTTGAAAAAGAAAATTGTCAGGTTATGTACAATCATCTGCTTTGCAAAATTGCTATGTGATAATAACGTGTCAAGCACTTTGCCTGCCACATATTTTATAAATGTACGCATATAGCATACATTTATGGCAATGGCATGACGTGTGTAAATAGTGGGAAGAGATTTTCTGAAACCCTATCAACTGCTTCAAGTGTAAACTAACTTAACGAGTTGGAATAGACAACGGCCGAAGTACACAGCTTTTGTATGGAATCTCCCGGTAAGTCTTCCCCATAACTTTTATGAGGTTTCAAAATTATCGGTAACAGAACATGTGAATATGGCATTACGTTTCCCTATCAATGTTTTTAGCATCTTCACAAGATTGTGGAGAGAATAGCATATACAGTACTGTGCTCCTTTAGAAGAAAGTGCCCAATTGACGTCGTCTTAAATACTGTCTCCATCCGATGTACCACTTTTCATTGTACTGTAATCTCTTCGAAGATATTCATGGCAATTGTTGTCCATGTGTTTCCGAGGCACTCGCTTGTGGAGTATCCACAATAGTGTAAGTTGACAAATTCATTAACTAGTCATAAAGAGTCTGACTCGCACAACGACAAATTTCTCATCTTGCAAAGAACAAGGACATGATAAACAAAGTTAGCCAGGATAATATTCCAACCTACGTCTACACGTCGATGAATATGACAACAATCGGGAATCGAGCCAGCACAAATGTAAACACCGAATAAGAAATGAGAGTGTGTGTTACAGAAATTTACGCAAGCGATACAAACCGATACAATCAGGAGGTCAGGACTTTCTGCTTTTTCTCATATTTTCTTCTTTTTCATCTTTGACGTAGGAGTTGCACGAGCAGGATGGGCATACTGTCGTCCACACGTCAACGACGTTGTTGCAGGAGAGAGAAGCTTGAGTCCAGTTAACATGATTCTTCGACAAAAAACATTTTTAGAGATTGCTTCCTTTAGGACAAACACATTCATTCCATCCCTCGTGAATGCAATGAATCGCAAGTTGTGTTCAGAACTTTCCACCAACAAAAAAACAACTCAATATTTTACCCTCGGGCGATGAAAGCCGAGCTCGAATTGGTCACAAGTTTTACAATATGTGACCAATTTGAAGTCTCCTCTATACACAGTGAAGAGTGATTCAGACGGTGTCCAGATGTGTTGGGCGCATTGACCGAATTAGCAATGTAGTTTGTGGTGTGGAAATAAGCAGAGTGTGACAGAGTGGTGGTCTCGAATGTAACTAGAGGTTATGCGAGGAGAATTTCGCAAAAAGAGTCCTGTAATATAAGGAAACTATATAAAGTCTCCTCTATACACGTCCTGGAGAGCTATCTTCAACAGTTGCTGTCCTAACCAACAATTAATCATTAAACACGTTCAAACGCAATGTGGACGCTGACAGTTCCTTGCATCGACTGTACTCGTACGAAATTTCAGTAGCCACTCGACGAAGAAGCTAGTGGGACATTACAGATACCTGTTACGGGCCATATAGAAATTTGGGAACGTAACACAGAAAGCAGCATGCGCCACGAGTACAGGGGCAGAACAACATCGGACAAATTCCGCCTCCCCGAAATCCGAGTGGAGAATTAGCACTACTGCAGCCGCAGGAGAATCTTTAAGGTCCAGAGAGACTGAATTTCAAGCCACATGCCACAGCCGGAACCGAAGCAAGCGGTGGATGTCTCGAAAGCAGGGGTGATGATACCGCCCGGTAACTAGGATCACTCACGAACACATGCGCTAATAGTGCACATGTTCCATACAAATCCCAGTCGAGTCCAGATCATATACTGGCAAATCTTAACAGCAGAATGGAAGCGGAGGTCAATTAAATCTGAGTGATTGATAAAGGGGTCTTCTCCATTGGTTTTCAAAATGGAGGAACACCATCACGAGATTCCAAAGCTCGACGACCTTAGAATTTACGACAAGAAGTTTGTTTCATGCGCTTGGAAGCCACAGACAGTAGAGCCAGTGCAACTGACTCTACTCGGAGTGATGTCTGCATCGATTCGACCACGGAAGTTTTGGCAGGATTGATGGCCTCTGTCACCTGGGTCAAGCAAGTTGTCGAAATTTGGAGTAGATTGACATACCCAAGGTATGCAAACATGAAGGCCATCGTGATTATTCCTTCGCTAGATTTCAGCACCATAGCTTTAGGCTTTGGAAGAGTCCGCATTCTAGCGAGGTTTTGCGCAAAATGGGAGAAGAAATCGCTATCAACCCAGACACAATTAAAAGCCAATTTACAACGAGCGAAGGTTGAGAGAAACAGTATTGCACAACTTGGCCACCATGGAGGCAAAGAAAGAGGTAGGCACTGTACTGACTAGAAAAGAAAGAAGTGGCCGAGGAGTGGGGCCCTGAAGCTGCACAACTCACAGCTACAAAAGAACCCCTTTGAAGCTTCTGCCAAGGTAAATCTGATGGAGAAGGAAAAAGGCCATGGGAGAATGGGGTCTTCCCATCTTTTTGGACCCCCTTCACTAGCCAACGAGGATGATAGAGTAAGTACGATCACTACTCGGGAGGAAAAAAAAAATTACTAATCTAATTTACCATAATAATGAAAACTTGAAAGTTACCGAAAGAAATATATTCCAATACACATGTAAAATACAAAGTATATTCAAACTCATCACTAGGACAAAGGATCAAAGTTTATGTCAGAAGTAATTCAAGTCTTGGGTTAAACTCAAGTTATCCCAATTAGAATTAGGTTTACTCTCGCAAGGATTTGAATTAGGATTTCAAGTACCAAGTATATATATGGAGCCAAACATAGCTCGCCTTGAACATCTCCTAGATTCTTTCAGTAAAGATCAAGAGTAACAAACTAGTTATTTTTCTTATCAATGTTATTTTTCAGTTCTTGGTGATTATGTGTCTTGTTATTTCCAATAACTAGCATCAGAGAAAAAATTGAAATAATATTTTGATAACCAATTTTTTGTTCAAACGTCAAAAGGTCTTTATAGTTTTTGTTGTTGATGTAAATCCAATTTATCATGAGATCTTGACCTCCATGACGTGTGTTGATGAGTAAAGATTACGCCTAGATACTCGAACTAACAACATTCAGTTGAGCTACATAATTTGGTTAGTGATTATTGTAATATACATATGAGAAGGTATAACTCTTTATAATTGTGAGGCAAAAGATGTATTTATTTTTCTTGCATGTATTGATCATTTCAATAGCTTTCAAGGCGTGGTTTCATCAACTTTTTAATGATAATGTCGGAAATTTCAAGTATGGCATACACGTTGGATATAAGAGTAGATCTAGGTATAGTATCAAATGCCTAGAAAGAAAGACGGTGCTATGCTGAAAACGTGTCATATCAAGAAATATTGGTGCGTCAATATCAAATGTGTAGTTTATTCTCTAGTCAATATGTCTCAAGACTTTGACTAAGAGTAATATGACTTGGTCAAACATAATCTATGATGTCAGATCATCATATGCAAGACTTTGGTGTTGAAACTCACCGTTATAAGACAATACGTGATTATGTACATAGTGGTATTTGGAAACAATCTTCAAAGGCTTGATTCTTTGGAAAATTTTGCTTTGTATTTTTTATTGACAATTACTAAAGGTCTTTGTGAAATTTACTTTCTCTCGTATAAATCTAAGATGTTCATAAGTTTTAAAAGTTGGAAGCTCAACTTGAGATTCAAATTGAACACAATGTGATATATTTAAGGGTGGATAATGACGGTAGTATATTTTGACAAGTTTAGATTTTATTGTAAAGAGTAGAGATTATTCATCATAGTTTATAATCCGCAACAAAATGTTTTTTTTGAAAGTCTCAATCTAACAACGATGAAGAAGTTGCGCAGAATGTTGAGTCAATTTGATTTATCATATAAATTTTAAAATGAAGTTCTCAATAGCGCAGTGTATTCAATAAACCTTTCAGCACCTAATGCAATCAAGTTCCTAAAATCATTTGAACAGAGACACAAATGGAAGATTGATTGTACTCATTTGAGAATTTGTTGATTGTATGACTTACACTACTACATTACTAAAAAGAGTAGGATCAAGTTGAATACTACATTCCAAAAGTGTCATTTTTTTTATTTGCTAATGATATGAATGGTTATAGATTATGAAATCTAATAGATTGAAAAGTAGTTTTCAATATGGATTATTGAAAGAGTCAAAATTTTTTTTGATTTTTGTACTAACAAGGTAAAATCTCTACTCAGAGACATTGTTAAGAGAAAAATTGATTATTATGTGATTAATGAAGTGACACAAAGAGAAGCTCAGATATAGATGAGGCAAATCTATTAATAAGCTTGAGTGCAATGATGATATGAAGTGTTAGATACAATTGTGTGTATAATAAGACTTATGAATTAATGAAGACTTGATTTTTCCAAAAAATCAAGACTTGATTGAATGGAAATAGATATATGAGCTAAAGAACAAGAAAAGTATCCTTAAAACCAGTGTGATGATTAGAGATTTCATACAAAATAAAGACATGGAATACAATAAAAATTTTTCATCTATGGCAAAGTATGCTACTATTCATCTGATATGTGCACTTTGTGCAATATTTAATCTTTTTATAGATTAGATGTATGTAGTTATAGCAATCTCTATGGATATCTAGTAAAGTTAGCTTTGAAAAGAAAAGTTGATTTGTAGATTGCTATTAATCATTATATGGATTGAAACAAGCTGCTTGATTGTGGAACGCAAGATTTGATGAATTCGTGAAAGCACAAAATTTTCATGAATCTTTGTGTAAACATGAAACAAGTGAATAATAAGAATTTGCATCTTATTCATAATTTCAAAGAATGAATCTAACAACAACATATTCAAAAATGAGCTGAAGTTTAAACATAAGTATAATTGTGAACAAGCTCATACATTTGATGGTGTGCAGAAGGTCTGATATTGCTGTAGCGATGAACAAGGTGAGCACATACATGTCAAATTCAATGTAGTTGCATTGGGAAACAGTGAAATAAACTCCCAAATATTTGAAGACTGTTTAAGATTATGATTTATTACACAATATCAAAGCCTTGCTAGACTACGTTGATGATGAATGCATTAGTTGGAAAACTACTATGCAAAAGTGCATAGTTCAATCTACAATGGAAGCTTAGTATATAACAACAACAGGATCAGCAAAGCATCAAATGGGATTAAAACACAAGGTTGTCAACTTTGCTGTGATAATCAAAGTGCATTACATTTTGTTATAAATCAAGTGATGGATAGCATAGTGAAACACATCGACATCATGTATCACATTTTCATACATGCAATTTTTTATAAAGTATTAAACTAGTCAAAATTGACAAAAAAATTCATTCTAACTGATGCTTTTAAAAAAACATCACATATCATTTTGTCAAACACATTGTTTTTTATAGAAGAATTAAATTAGTCAAGATTGACAAAAAATTCATTCTAACTGATGTTTTTATCAAAGACATCATATATCATTTTGTCAAACACATAGTTTTTTATAGAAGAATTAAATTAGTCAAGATTGATAAAAAATTCAATCCAATTGATGCGTTTATCAAAGTCGTCACATGTCATTTTGTCAAACACATAGTTTTTTATAGAAGAATTAAATTAGTCAAGATTGAAAATAATTCAATCCATTTGATGTGTTTGTCAAAATTATTTTTTTGAATAATTTTAGAAAACATTGTGTTATTATGTAGGTTTTGCATGAGGAACAAAAGTGAAATTTACTAGCAATTTTAATATCGTCTATAAAGTTTTAATCTATCACGTTTTGATTATGACTTAGTTCTTGTTAGCTTTAGTCTAAACAATAAACTTTGTTAAGTTTGATTTTAGAACTATCCAGATAGCAATTTTAGCTTATGGAATTTAATGTACCGTCAACATGACATGAATTAAGGGAGAGATTTTTTAATTGTAACTCACATTGCTTGTAAATAATTAATAGACATAACTTTCCCAACATTACATCAGTGATGTTTTCACAATGCCAAATTCCTACGTTTAATGGTTCTACTGATTTATTCATATTTTTTTCTACGTTTTCATTTTTCTTGTACATTTCCAATCCATATTTATATTAAACATTCAACACAAAATTCCTAGTTAAGTCAAACATTTTTTTCAAATCCTGAGAACTAATTTAAAATTTGGAAACAAAAAGTTACCACCTAGAGACTACAAATCATAGGGTTGATCCACTCACAAGTGCATTTTCGAAAAAGCATTCATTAGCTATTTATTTTATAATACCAAAGTCAAGGTAGAGTACTAGTTATTGTCATATTCGTTTGAGATAGTACCTCTTAGGATTACATAGGTATTTCAAATTAAATTAAATTATCATAGATGATCAAGCACTAATAATTCCATAATTCCGCGAGAATTTATGTCTATGAGTGATATACTTATTCCAACCTCGTGAACCTTCATATAAGTTGAGTATTAGGTCCAAGTCACAAACGCTCGGCTTCTCGATGTGATACATCGCTTGCAATTTTTGGAAGAAATATTTTTTCATACAGCACTTTTCTTGCGTTGATATCTTGGATTCCTACCTTTACAGGACCTCACTTGCAGCATCGAGAAACACGAGAGAGACTTGACTTCAAAGTTATAAATTTAACTTTGACATAGCGTATGGCCTTAAACTATTTCACTATTAAAGACTTCACAGTAAGACACTACTAGATTCCGCTTTTTCCAGATATCTGTATACAAATCTGGCCACTATACCACGGCAATTGTATCCAGTAGCATGAAAGGAGTGCAAGAGTCACGACGGTCAGAACTGCCTACAGCCACCGGGAGTTATTTGTTCAGAGGTTAACGAGTACGTTGGCAACGTGTAAATGCATCTTGAAGTCATTGACAAAACCGGAGATAAGTGCCCACCAAGAGATAAATATTAACGGTTGATAAAGTGAATAACTTCGCCACTTCTTTGATCGAGAAGTGAAAACAATGCCTCTCAGGTTTTGATAGATTGTCAATTACGTTCACAATGCACCTCGTCGTTTCGATGACGAAACGATACACATCTCTCCGTCTACTAGAATTAGAAGCTTCAGAGTACGCCTAGATCATCATATCACCTCGTTTTTCAGATAGGAGAGCACCGAGAAATATAGTGAAAAGGATGGGAAGACACCATTAAGTCGTACAGGGATGAACCCAAACGGGTTCGATGGTGCTAGGCCCCAATGATTTTTTAATTCTGAATAGGACTTGTATTACTGTCCACGCATGACGACACTTTTACGATCTGTTTGCATTTATGCGTTCCCACCGATTATGGACATAAACTGTGAAACTAAGCTGGGCATGGAAACATGAAGAATATGGTGCCCACCTCGATCGACTAAAAGAGAAGGCAAACAGGCTTTCCGTGCACCTCAAATTCAAAACCAGTTCCGTTACTCAAGTTTCATCTCATGGGTCACTTTACTGATCCATCTACATTTTACAAATACCCAGATGCCGTAAAACTCTAAGAATTATATGCACCCTCAAAAATCTACAATTGAACAATCTCTTCAAAAATAAAGTAAAGGGGAACTAGCTCCCAAATGCTACGTCAATTTCAAGGTTCTGGCTGCATCTTCTCAGCCTCCTCCCTAATGGACTGGAAGAGCACGGAAGACAGGTATCTCTCTCCAAAGCTGGGTAAAATAACCTGTCGATACAAGATCACAAGAAACATTATATTAAAACATATGCCTTTCGATTGCAAATTCCAAGCTTAAATATCTGATTCAAACAAGTTAAAACGGCTACCACTCAGCGGTCTTCTGCGAAACCAATGTCCTCGAGTACATAATTCAAGCCATGATCAAAATATTATGTCTTACACAGATAAGTTTGTCTTTGTTCTCCGGTCTCTTAGCGACCTTGATAGCTGCTGCAGTGGCAGCCCCGGAAGAAATACCAACCTGTTGAACAAAACAACAATCCATCAAGATCCAACAAGAAGCTGTAATGACGAAGCGATACGTACGCGGTTGACAAAAAAACAAAACCTTTAAGTCAATAAAAACATCTACACAGACTAGAGGGAAATGTCCACAGACATTGCCCAACGTGAGACGAATAGCTTACCAGTAGTCCTTCCTTCAATGCCATCAACTTGGCCATTTCAACGGATTCGTTGCTGGAAATCTGTTCAATCAAGTGAACACACATGGTTCAACTACTGATTTCGACTCACAAACATCCAATGTAGAAGTGTACTGTGATTCAGTAGTGACAGTGAAAGTGGTGCAAAAGACTAAGAACATGAAATGATGAACTGGCTGATTGCTCTATTCAGCATTAAGATATGATTAACAAAATTAGTTTTACCTGAATAACCTCATCAAGAATTTCCACGTCTAAGATGCTTGGGATAAACCCTGCACCAATTCCTTGGATCTTGTGTGGTCCTGTAATCCATGTGCAGCAAATATTCTTCAAATATTAGGTCTTAATCTCTAAAATCTGGCAGTCAAATTGAATCGTCAACCTAAGAAACTTCATACCCGTCTGCTAAACATTTTTAATTAACTTGTCATTGGACAATATTATAATTCTTGAACAATTTCGACATTAGTCCTTCGCAGCCCTTCGGAAAGAACATAGGCAAACTAAACTGACTCGATCAATAGGCAGAAAGCTTACCTGGTTTGCCCCCAGACAATATGCTGCTCTCAGTTGGTTCCACTCCGATGATCTACAGAATATCAGGGGAAAACAATTAATATCACGTTGAACATGGACCTTCTTCAAGCTGAGGACCTCGTGAATGCGTCAATTTGCCCTTTCCGTTCAAAAATCAAGGTGAAAACAACATCAATGATGAGAAAGCATACCTTGATATCGGGGTTCTTGCTTTTCAAATAGCGACCACATCCCGTAACAGTTCCACCAGTTCCAATTCCAGAAACAAGAATGTCGATCTTCCCTGCAGTGTCTTCCCAGATCTCAGGACCTGTGGTTTCAAAGTGAACCTGAGACGGCACAAAAAATGTATTAAAACCGGCAATTTGATCACGAAAATTTTATCGGTAGTTCATACTGGAAAGAGGGGTACAATGTCTCGGAAGATATTGGGAGTACTTCCGATTGGATTTAAAGTGCATGAAACTAGATCAGTAGGACATCGTTACTATTTATCACAATAGAAAATAGGTACCAACTGTACTGAAGATTTGTTTCTACAAGTATTGCGTTTACAAATGTCTCTTTATATCACTGGACAGACATGAAGACGTGCATACCTTAGGATTGGCAGGGTTCTCAAATTGCTGTAGCATGTACGAGTTTGGAGTCTTCTTCACAATCTCTTCAGCTTTTTGTACAGCACCCTTCATGCCCTTGGCAGGGTCTGTCAAGATCAACTCAGCGCCAAAAGCCCTGAGCAATATGCGTCTTTCCAAACTCATAGAAGCAGGCATCGTCAAGATAAGCTTGTAACCCTTGGCGGCAGCAATAAATGCAAGTCCAATTCCAGTATTTCCGCTGGTTGGTTCCACCAGTATGCTCTGAAAAAGAGACGTAGTTAGGTAAGATGCTTCTTGGCTTGTTTCAGCCATTCATATGAAGACATGTACAACTCAAGACACATGTCTTGAAAATCTCCGGCTGGCATCTGAAGGTACAGTTCGATATGATCATTACAAGTCTACTTGGTAGAAAATTCTTCCCTGTCTCTTGTATTTCTAAGGTTCACGAAACAACAATAAAAACGAGACAATCGTGAGAATTATCTACAGGTAGAAGCTTTTCACGACTTTAGACGTCTTCATGCAGTAAAAGAACATATTGATGCCTTTCAAGTCTCACCTTTCCAGGAATGATGTTGCCCTTGGCTTCGGCATCGGCAATCATGCTATTTCCAATCCTGTAAAATCCTTATCGAAGTCAAACAGGGTTGCCAGCAAGGCGAAGGACATTCGGTTGAAAATTGAACACCAGCTCTATTGATCTGAAGCCAACTTGCATCAAAAACTGTCTTCAAGCAAGATCTACGTTAACGCAGACAGATGTGCTACTCTATAGCTACTAGTACCTCATGAAATTTCAAATAAGATGTGTCTCAACATTTTACCTGTCCTTAACACTGCAGCATGGCTCCATAATTTCCAACTTTGCCGCAATATTCGCAACGCATCCTTCGACAACAGTGTTCAAGTACACCATGGGCGTCTTCCCAATCAGCTGGTAAACATAGAAACCAATAAAACATGTGAACTCGGGTAGCACTGGATCTACATGTGATCACGGCATGAATATCTGTGCATCTATCAAAGAGGCCAATTTCAGTTCAAAAACAACGAAGCTCTGGCTTTTACTCCTAGTGACCCTCCGCTGCGTACGACCGTATATTTCTCAGAGCGAAACAGGGCCAACAAGTCACTTTAGTGATAATTTGGTAAAAGATGGAGTGTATCTATCACGCAAACTCTGTAGAGATGCAGAGGAGTAAACTTGCTTCAAGATATCATACACATAGATTCAGGAGAACCAAACAGTTTCAAGTAAATTGTAACTTGTCGAAAACTACTTCTAGCAATGAATAAAGACCTATTACCTGCTCAGTCCAAGATTGTTCTGCGGATAAACATGTGTTGAGCTCGTCAACAGTTCGGGCTCACATGGTTCAATTCACAAGGTTTCAAAGCATGGACAGAAACTCTTAAAAAACGACGTTTAAAATAAACTTGCGGTCGTCATCATGTGGTGAGTACCTGAGTGACATCCTCGGCAATGTTAAGGGTCAAAACTTCCTCGGCACTTCCTGCTTCCTTTTCAACAGAAACTTTGCTCCTGATGCCAGATGCGGAGCTTCCCCTTCTCGTAGAAGGAGCTGACGAGGCAATTCGCAACTTCGCTCCTTCAAATCCAGATCGAGTGAAGAAGAAGGGTGCAACCTGACTCTTGCCAGTATTGCTAATGTGCTTCACTGAGCAGGAGGCCAATGCTCCGCCATCAACCACACCACATCTCAACGCTTGAATCGCACCTGCCATGGTTGAACCTATTGCCAATTTACCAGACTCAAAATGAGACTACCAAACTGACCACAACTGAAGCAATCGAACCTCTATAATACAGACACTTGAGCACATGTAACATTTCACGTGCTGCACAAACCCAGGAGACATAGACAGCCTTCCAGATCAAATACGAAACATCTCAACTGTACGCCAGCCACTCCATCATAAAAGTAACTCTAAAAATCACATCGCTTCCCATGGCTGTTACTGATCATGCAATCAAACAACAATTTCTGCCTGACAGACACCACGGAATCTCGTGATTGCTCGGCCCAAGTGAAAAACTAAACGATCCATAAAATTCTCCCGACACGTAGCACTTCCATGTTTCTTCAAACATTCATGTAGAAAGAAAGTTTCATCGAACACCGATTATTCTCTGGTGGACGTGACGTCCCCGCAGAAGATACACACACAAGATACACAAACGATGAACTGCGTAAAATTTCCACACAGGTGCTCGTCGCTACGAGCAGATTTCAATCCCCCCCATCGACGTCATTCCGAAAAATCCCATTATCAGCCCAGTACCTGATACGACGCAAAGCGACCAGCCGAATGAATGCCTGGAACCCTCGACGCTCTCTCCTCGAATGTCAAAATCAGCAGCAGAAGGAAGAGCACGAGGACAGTTCGATGAGGAGGAGCTCGACGCGCCGCTGCGTCAAGGATTTGCTCCTCTGCCTCTTCCTCGTCAGTAAGGGATCCTGCCCACAGTTCGAGCTGTAACAACCGAGAAATTACCGTCTCTCCTCACATGCTCCAAAATCCCCTCTCGTGTCTTCTTCAGATCAACCGACCGACCCACGCACTTAAGACAAGGCTACCCGCGGACGAGGGCGTTTCGAGGGCAATTGGGAATATTCTCCAGATTCTCTTCGGCCTTTCATTTATCGCCCGTGTATACCCTATCACGTAGCCGACACAAAAGAATTACGATTATACATATAATTCGAAATATTTCAGATTGCGAGTTATTATAAGGTCATGTGCGCGAATTAAAAATTGTATGAACCCTGGATGCCGGATGCAGAATTCAACGCCTGGGATGGCCCGGAACCCGGCAATGATTATTTACGGGTGCGCGAGTCTTTCACCCGAAGTTTCACCCGGGTACATGCATGCACCCAGTCCCGCTGAGTGGGAGGAGGATCCTTTGACCGGAAGTACCTTACCATCGGATCTCGCATCTGACTGCTACGGTCTATGCGTAGATCCAGAGCTGTGACCCGGTGTGACATCAACCTCGACCAAGTTGGCCTCGGGCTGGGGGCTAATCACGTGGAAATCGAATCGGAAGCTCCCGCTAATACAGAGCGACCGCCAATTAATGCCGCGGCGAGCCTCCGCTGATGAATGCCTGGAGTCGCTGAGCTCTATATTTAGATGGATTTCGGTTTGGCGATCCCTCTAACTTGTCCGCTAAGTCTCTCTCTCGAAGGTGGATCAGATTCAGGTTCACTAGCAGATGGGCCTTACTGCGGACAACCGTTTGTGTTGGTGACTGGAATGAAAATGCGGGCCAATATGACCCCCAAAAAATTACCAGAAAAAATTGCAAAAAGAACGAGAATCAAAAAACTACGGATCGAATGGGAAAGTGAAAAGGAAAAGGGTCATTGCTGAAGCTAATGACTTTGGTCCCTTCCTTTCCAGTCCGATGCAAAAAATTAGGCACGATGAGACTAGATTCTCAATCTATTGCTCCGTTTAGATCATTTCAATCTACTAGGATTTACTTGAATTCAAAAGTAAATTTTACGTACCAAACAAAAAATATTTATTTTCTGAAGTTTTCGGGGTCAAAGGTTCACTCGGATCCAATTTTGTACAACGTGAGCAATAATTAAGTTACGTCTGTAATACATTCAAATCATTGCTAGACCTGATGTCGTCATCGCATTACATACATTTACGTTCGCTATCCAGGATATAGGGTTACAAATAGAGTCCCACCAAAGTTGGATATAGGGAAGCTAGTCTCCGTACTCATTCCGATTTTTTATTGCAATATATTGTTTTTTCCATCCTTGAATCTCCACTTGATCATATAATGATGATCGATGAGTTGGGGATACTATTGAGGCATTCTGTCAAAATAGCTTGTTTTGTTGAATATTCATTCATACACGCTTCATATCTAAGGGGAGTACTTCATCTTTATGGCAACATAGAATAAAAGAGCTTCAGATGTATTGGGAACAAGGCACATTCTTGTGTGAATGAGTAAACCTATTATTCCGATAAACTGCATTATCGGGTATCACACTTTTGTTAATTTCCTATTTTTATATAAATGGAGACCGGACATATGCAGAGGGATAATGTTACATTTGATTGCAACTACAAATGTTTCGAAGCAATTTCTGGATAATGAGTTGCATAACATTAATCTGCTTCAAGCAATAAATAATTTGATCATATAATTCCAAAAAAAATTTATTTCAACAACATAATTTACATTGTAATGCTATTAGAACCTAACCTCCTATTATCCACGGGTTTCATTCCTCCCTGATTTTTTCTATGTTAGTTGTTTCCCTCTATTCTCACAAAACATCGACTTTTATCAAATCATCATACGTCAAACTTTTTGCTTCGGTCCAGTGATATTTCTCCCCATGGCGCTTGAATCACTCTGGGTCACGCCTCTGTTCTTGTCGCCCACGTCATTGATTTGAGTTCGTTTCGATCGAGGATCATCCGTTCTAACTCGAGCACCTTCAGGTCAACAAGAAGGTGGCATCCAGTTTCAGCATAAATCGAGGCTGGCTTGACTTTCACGAGAAGTGCCTACTCCTCCCTTGCAACTCCGACGGAATCTGGTCGTGTGCATGCACCAAACTCCCCAACATTTTAATGATAACATCCCTTCAGTCGTGAACTCTCAGTGATCCGCAGGTATGAACGTGTTCTCTTCTTTTTCTCTTCAAACCTTTGAGCATGCTAACACTTTTTCAATCACATGTAATTTTACCGTCCTCTGACACCTGAAAAAAAATGAAAAATCCGAGTCCCATATGAAGTAGGAATTATGAAAAATAAAATGTAACCATTACAATTTTATGCACTCATTGAATAATCAAGTTCACTTTTCAATCTTCTAAATTGCTTGCAATGAATCAATGGAAATTGACTACCGAACAAATTGGAGTGAGTTCTTCTACACTTGTCAATATACGTATGCGCGTATCATAGTCAATACTAGAAAATTAGCCATTTAGCGAATGCTTACTGTGCTTTCCCAGACGAACCAAGTTGGGACAAATTTGCACGCACGGGAGACTTACTCGGTCGTACACAGTATCCCTAGGATGGCAGGGACTCAGGCCAGGATAACCGACGGTCGATGAATGGATGCTGCAGAGCGGATGTGCGCTGCCGGCGACGTGATTGGCCGAGCGATGCAAATCGGCTGACGTGTCAGGAGAGGGCCTGTCAGATATTGACAGACTCTTGGTTTCAGAAGGTCGGAGCCGTCGGACCACAGTTTGCGGATGTGGAAGGGCGTTATCTTCCGTGGATATCCCATGCCGTTGGAAAAGACCAAAAGGTCGTGGTGCCGTAGACCGTAGGACCCTAATCCGGAGCCATGACGACAGGAAGACGGATTTCCAGATTATCCTCCAGCGCCCGATGCCGGGACGGTCCATACCGGCCGCCCGTTAACCGGTTTGAAATTCCCGCGCTGTCGGGAGCTCGGCACGACAACTGCGAGCTCGAGCTCGATTACGAGGCTTTGGCAATTTTCGGGCTGCGCTCGCGTGAGAGTTCGATCTGCTGCGCACTCGGGGTCTGTCCGAGAGACTCCCGATCTCGATGAGCCTTCTTTTGCGAATCTCGGGATTTTTCTTCTCAGTGCTGTCTGCGAGACCCTCGTGAACATTGTCCAGAAATTGGAATTTTGACTGAGTGCACAGTTACGGAGGTGGCGGAGAGCTGAGATTGTTTCCCTCGCCGAGCTGAAGGTAGGTCATTCTCGCTTTGGAGGATTGATGGCTTTTTATTCCGAGCATTCGGTTTTGATGTGTCCCAGGGCTAGTAGAAGGTGCCTTAGGTTCAGTCTCTTTTTCTTGGTATATCTGTCGGAGAAGATTTCAACGTCCGATGAGCATGGGTGTCGCCCCTTGTATGTGAGAATCCTGTTTCTGATTTGGGTAAATTAAATACTGCATCAGGTCAATCGAGTTAACTGTTTTTCAACATCATCGAGCTGCGACTGCTTTTGAACGGCATTATGGCGATGTTTGGAAAGAAGGGAGCCGAATTGGTCCGCGAGGCCAAGCAGGCCCAGGCGACTGTTGATCAGTTCCGTCCTTTTAATGTACGTTCTCTACCCTGTGGAATCGGTTTGACAAAATTGATTTTGTACATTGCCTCTCAATCTGATTTCCTCTCAGTATCGGACGTGCTCAAAATATCTGCCAAACTGAGAAAATGTCGTGGTTCTCTTGACAATTCAGAAGGATTTGTTTGAGCAAGTGATCAAGGAGACAGAGGAGCATTATTCTCATTTGCAAGAAAGGATGAGGTACATACTTAAAGCGCTTCCTTTTGTAACCGTTGATCCAGCAACTGAAGTGTCCTACACAAGCATTTCGCGTCGTGATGCAGATGAGACCAGTGGTCAAGTCCAGGAATTGTTTTCCAATTTGCTAAAGAATGTTTTTAAAATTTTGTTTCTGGTGGTCTGTCTCACTATTTGCTTTGAACTCCTCTCCTTCATTCGCAGCCAAATTCGCATAAGCGAGCCATCTCAAGGCGTGGATCCAAATTTTGTCGGAGGTTGCGCACAGCATAGAAGCGTGTTACGAAATAAGCGCTGCCTCCTGGCTTATGTGTAGGTCCTCACACTTCATTTTGGACGTAACACTCGGATCTGAAGGCAGAACTCTCTCCCATCATCCTCAAAAGTTTACGATCTTTTGGAGATGTTTTTACTAGGTTTCCTACCAGACTTTCTACAGGTGTCTAGTGTGCTCAGCGGTATTCTCAAATTCGCATAACGTGCTTGATATCTCGTAGCCTTCTCTTTTTGTTGTTGACGAGAGGTTCCTCTGCTTTCTGCAGAAATGCTAGGTTGGGTAAAATTCAGCAGCTAAGGTGGGATCTTGGAGCAGTGTTACCCGATGACATCGCAGAAAACCTGTCTGCGACAGAGCGAACTTTCTTTCAAGGATACTCCGATGCACTGGGTTCCTACATGAACGATATCAATTTAGATCTCACCGTGGTAAGTTCTTTTGATCCTTCCATCGTTCTGCAGGGACTATCGCGATTCTTGTGTGCATCGTTTTCTCAAATTCGTATGTTCGAGTTATTAGTGGATTACGTTAGCTTTACCACATTCAGCGATGTCATCATCCATTTACTCTAAATTGTGGCTTCGCGTTTGCAGGATGCAACTCCGCCGAAAGATCCTTATGTACAAATTCGCGTGATCGGCAACCTTGGGGAAGTCCTTCTGGACGATCAGGAAACCTCCCTCTTGCCCAACTCAATTCACTTCATGACTCGTACCGAGGCAGAGCCTCTGGTTCTGCAGGTAAGCAACGTCATGCACGGGACGTTTTTTTGAAGTGGCTCTGGAAGTAGTGATGTATTCAGCACAATATACCTCGTATAGCTTCATACAATATAGATTGCTATACCTCATCTAGTTTCATCACATCTGATCATCTTCGGACTTTGCCTGATTAAATTACTATATTTTTAAAACACGTATTATCGGATTATCATGACCTTAGAAAGTCTCATACTCATTCATGTATGTACGTTCCCCGCACGATTTCCACAAGAGTTCGAAAATATCAATATTCAACATAGTATGCTTCTCGCCTGTTGTCCGGAAACCATGATACAATGATAGAGCATCATCTCGTGAACCTTTTTATTTATCTTCTTGCTAAACTTTTACTTGGTTGTATGCAGGGTCTCTTGGAAATCTACATGGGTTGAGGCAATGAACTGCAGAGCAATTGAAAACATAGTATTTCAAGAGATACAGGTGGATATCAACTCTTGACAAGTGGGCAAACTGTTTCACTGACGATTACGCAGTTTTGCTTTCGAGATGGAAGACCTCCTCGCGACCTGCTACGCAAGAGAGGGTCTGCAGACGAGTTGCCAACCATGCCCAATAAGTTCTCAGGACGTGTCAGGAGAGAAGTCAGATGCTTGCCTCGATCAGCTCATGATATTCAATTGGCCTGTTCCTACTATGGAACTTGTTCTCTCTCCTCTCTTCAGTGAGACTCGGTCACGAGACTGACACCGTCATCACCTATGGAACTGGCTGGCAAGTTACTACCATGGTTTCGCATTAGATGGCTGGGAGCGGAGAACCTGAAAGCTTTTACAGCACGTCAAATTCAGTTGTCCGAATCCAGACGTTGAAAACCAAGTGAAACATCCGACACAGGCTTAACTTCTTGAAAGATCTTGCGAGGCCGGGGAAAAGGACAGTCTGCCACCAGGTACCAGTTGGTGTACAATTATGGACAGATTGGTGGGGAAGAGGTTTCCACCAACTGTGAACAGACTCCAGAGGCGAACAGTCTGGTCATAGCACGGTTCATCTGTTCACACGCTACGTTTGATTTGTCCATCGTATGCAGATGACGCACTTTGCAGTACCATCACTTTGGATATAATAGACAAGGCGATGCATCCTGCTTCTGGCTTCGGCAATGGGCGTAAGCATTATCTATTATACACTCTTCATCGACACTATCACGTTTTCTGCACATCAGCAAGAGCTCCTAAAAGAGGGGCTGAGACTCAACGTTTCCCGTCTATTGTTTTTTTTCTTCGTTGAGAATTAAAATAAAATAAAGAAGAGGACATCTGGTTGATATGAGGAGGTGTTATCGTATCTGAGGTTATCCAGCCCGAGGTTTAAATCATGAAGTATTGGGTGTGGAGTCTGCAAGTTTTCTCAAGAATGTCGGTTGAAAGAGAAGAGGATAAGGAAGCAGAAGACGGAGAAACGAGGACAACTGTGCTGATTAGATAGGATACCCTCAAGGCAATGATAGTAATAACTTTTCTGTGTATTAATTGTATCCTCGAAAAGACAGAAGGAACGCATGAACTTCCCATACTGACAAGGAGGGTTCAGTATTTACCTCTGAGCATCGTGCCTGCTTCCACAAATGATGAATAAAGGGTTGCCAGATATCACGAATGCCGGGGCAGATATGGTTGATGAAATTTCACCATCTAAAACTTTTGCTTAACTAGTATTATTACTTATTAAGCTTGTAAGTATTAAGCTTGTAAGAGCGTGAACTACATGTGTCAATCATGCTCTGGTTGGGGTTGAACTCAAGCAGATGGAAGTGAGAAGAGGCTTTCCGAACTTGTACAACCGCATCAAGCTCTGATGCCCTGACTGCATGCATCAACATCTCGACATTGACATTTGGAGTCATCTATTAAGCCCAGTATATCATAATTTACTCGGGTGATTATAACTTCCCGTTCCATTATCTTCGGCAAAACAACTTGCAGCTGCTGTTGAGGTGGGTTGACAAATGTGGGCCTTTCTTACACAGTAATACCCAACGATTTGGCACGAAATAGCTAACTATTGTTTGGGATCCTGAGGCTCGAATCGCTGTTACTACACATCTGTCGGGCAGAACTAGATGTACTGTCAAGTTTCAGGACGCTTGAATCTCTGAATGGTCATTCGACGAGTCGATTGCCTGTCCTTGTGTAGCCTTCCACATCGCGACACTGCTCACAGCGTGACAGTGTATCTCTCTGTGAAAATTCCCTCGAGCTTCCAAACTGTATTCAAAACGGTGAAATATTCACAGCCAGATTCCTTTTTTAAACGTCGTTTCATCCTCAAAGTGTTCTAGTCCATACAATCACGAATTGTGCTATCATTCGTACTGACCGCAATTGGTATGTTTTTCCTACCGACATACTTAGTGGGCTGTAGATCACTCACCCTCTACAGTCAGAGCAGAGAGGATTGTTGACAGTAGATCAGGTACAGGATTTAGTGCCGATATCAACTAAATTGACTGTCACTCCACATCATGCTTCGAGATGTCTTCGTATTTAAAAGAGTGCTGTTTCGTGAAAGTTACTTCAAACGCTACTGGTCCAAGGCATACTTGCAGGCTAAAATGTGTTAATATACATCTCGCTTGAGGAATTGTGAGCTCGAGTCCATAAATTGGATTGGGAGACTGAGTGTCGTCTCCTTTTGATATGGACTTGGAAAATCGTAAACGTTACAAGCCCGTTTCAAATTGAGACAAGTTCTCTCAAGTAACTTGAGAGAACCAAATAATGTTCGAAGGATAACTAAAGAAGAGCCAGATAGAAACTCGCTCGCCTACTCTTTCCTTCGTTTGCCGACATAGAATGCCCATAACTGCGAGAATCTATGCTATGCAACAATTTGATTCATGGGGTTGTGTTCCAATCCAGTTTACCCGAGACTATTGGGACAGGCCAGTGAATAGGCCTCATGGCACTATCCATATACCATTTCCAGATCCCTCAAATTTAATCTTCATGTGAAGTTCCTCAGTTAGTGTTTCATCATTCGTTGTCTCATCATAGATTTCAGATGGAGCACGAAGTATGTTTTCATCCCAGGAACAGATGGCCAATCAGAGCGCTCAGTGGAAGAAGAAGTCGTTTTTGTATTCTCTCATGGTGCAGGCACCAATGGAGACATGCCTCACGGCGTTTAACATCATAGCGCGTGTGTTGCTCAAGTAGAGGAAAGGGATGCTCAGAGGAAAAGGTTTCAATCTACAGCCCATGATCGAGTAACAGTCTCAGACATCCAAGGAAGGATAAAACCGCATCAATTCTCAAGCCTGGCGGGGTGAAAACTCTCGGGCGGCCACTGCGAATGTTTGAGAAACAAGCCTTAAGTTTATCATCACAGACTGATTGAATCCAGGGGCCACTGATTGCAGAGCACTATCGAATTGGAACAAACGGGGATGAACTTTACTGGTAAACTACTGACAGGCAGAGCATGGTACTATCAAGCGCTGCCAAAGAAACTCTACTTATACTGCCTGGATGATTCTTGAATTCTCAGATGACCGAGGCAAAAGGATGTGACGAGTCGTCTCAGAAAATCAGGAATCAGCAAGGCAAAACATTTGAAGGACAGGAGGCTCGACTCGAGGCTAAACTTGCACCTGAGGTTCTAAACCGACCCGACGACTCAATTGCAAGAAAAATCGGAAGATCAAGGAAAGATCGACACGCGACTTGGACAGCGTAACTCCGCCCAAGTCTCAGGAAAACGATAACGAGAACGAAACACGGGAAAGTGACCACAACTTCTGTGAACAGGCTACAGAAGGAGTGGTGCGTACTTCATACACAACGATGGCGAAACTTATAGGACATCAAATTCAACTTACCTTCGACGACAGCGTCCCATCGCGCCTCGAAGCTTCGTCCACAGGCATTAGGGTTAGGGTTGTGGAGGATGTCTCTGTAAGCCCTTGCCCGTGTATCAGAGTTAGAGGGACAGGAGTGAAAATAGGCAGGGAATGAAACTTCTGAGAGCGTGGAACAAATTGTATACCTGCCGTATATTAATTGTCATTTTCCGTATACAATACGCCCAGTAATTACACCGATCATAAATTCGGCACCAAATATGAATTCATGTAATGGGTATGACTTGGATGAATCCACAATAGCTTGGACACAGCAACAAATAAGATAAAACTTTTGAGTTTTTAGTTGTGATGCCTGTGAATTATAAGGTAATGATATCTTGGATACAGATAGATATATTTTGAATCAAAACATCATTTATATATTGCACCATTTTACATCTAAACATCAATATTTTAAGAATGTAATATATATCTATCTTTAGATATCATTATTGTATAATTCACACTCATTACAATTTGAATATCAAAACTAATCTAATTTTTTGCTATTTATATCTATAGGAACTACTAGAGTATAAGGATCATATTAGACTAATAATATTTACTACTGAAGTTATATCCTTGCTATACTCTCTCAACATTTATTTTCCAACATGTCCAAGTTGCAGTCAATACAGCTTCAAATTATTTAAATTGTATGTAAGTACTTGGAGACTTTGATTGTTGCAACTCCATTCCTTCATATATATCTTTGATTAATCAACAACTTGGAAACTGTATCAAGTGTAAAATCAGTTTTTATCACATATTAACATTGATTAGTTTTCAAAACATCTAGTCAAGAAGAACTTGACATACCTGTCACAATCTACATTTGGATTTTTGCAACCTAAACAATTCTATCATAGAAATGTTTTGAGATTCATAATTGTATCAATAATCATTTTTCTTAACTTCCAAAAAAACTTATTCGATGGAACTAACTCAAATTAAAATTTGAATTTATTCCACTGTTGATATCAAAAAAAAGAACTTTGAAATATGTATTGCAAAATCATGTGAATCAAAATCATTATGTGAATCAAAAAATTAATTTATTCAAAATTTAAAGTGAACATTTTGTCCGTTTTTTTTCTCTAAAATTTATATTAAAAAATAGAATTCGGTTATTCACATTTTTTCAAGACAAATGCAATCTTAAATTTTTTAAAAAAAATTCTAAATTTATAATATGACTCTACACATGAAACTCATCAAATTAAATTATAATTTTTATCCAATTAGCATATTTAATCTTTTAAAAATCTCAGAACTTCACAGAAATCTTATATTCTAACTTACAAACGATAAATAATTTATTTTAGTTTTTTTAAACAAATTTATTGATTAAAATTATTTATTTATATTTTATAATTCAATTATTCATTTAATAAATTTAATAAAATTGCAACAATCATAACATCATGCAATTCATGTGAGTTATATTTTTGAACTTCATCACTCCATATGTTAACAAAAAGAAAATAATAAAAAATTCTTCATGCTTATATTGATCTTCAATTTCTTAACTCTTACACATTAGTATTCAAATCACAACTTTCAAAGATGAATTAGTCGCTTGAATCTTTTGCATGGTTTGTCAATGACCTATATGATCGTTACAGAATTTCTATATGATATTTTCTTAAATTAAAGAATATCTGAGTCATATTTTCAAACAAATCAATTAATAGCAAGGAGAAGTAATTCAAATCTATTCAATTTCAAATCAAAATCTCAAAATACACACATTAACTTTTGATTGAATGGGTCATTTTACTTTATTTGAGGTATTCATTTCAGAACAAAAATGGTGATTTGATCCTTGTCAACATACGTTTGTAATGCATAACATACGATTTATCGTTATAAAAATTTAATTAAATTGATATATGTATTATTTTCTGTATACAATAAAAAAAAAAGACTCGTACTGGTAGTACTGGTTTCTGACCTTACGAGTGTTTTTCTAGATACCCTAAAATTTTGTTTTTTTTTTAAATGATATATTTCTGGGTCTCAAGATATATTTCTAGTTTTTATTGTGTTTTTTAGCCTTTTGACCCTTTGGATCCCACGGGCTTGATCTATACGGGCTTGATCCCACGGGCTTGATCTTGATCATTTACCATTTACTTCTCGCCTTCCTCCTCAGGCTTTGAGTGCCACACGTGCCAAAGGATGGTTAGCGGATGTGATAATGGAGTTTATGGGAGGATGTGATAATGTAGTTTATGTGATAGGGAGTTTATGGGTTTGAGCATGAATCTTGCGGGGGCCATATCTTCTTACTGGAGTGTCTACAGGCGCTGAGATTTGGTGGGCTTGTTCACGACGGTTGGGCGCACATACCTGCAAATTTTCAGCCCCAACGGAGCTGCCGTCAAGAAGTTGTCATTTCGAAACTTTGAGTTTAGGGGTTTGAGCATGAATCTTGCGGGGGCCATATCTTCTTACTGGAGTGTCAACAAGAGTTGAGATTTGGTGAGCTTGTTCACGACGGCCGGGCGCACATACCTGCAAATTTTCAGCCCCAACGGAGCTGCCGTCAAGAAGTTGTCATTTCAAAACTTTGAGTTTAGGGGTTTGAGCATGAATCTTGCGGGGGCCATATCTTCTTACTGGAGTGTCAAAAGGAGCTGAGATTTGGTGGGCTTGTTCACGACGGCCGGACGCACATACCTGCAAATTTTCAGCCCCAACGAAGCTGCCGTCAAGAAGTTTTCATTTCGAAACTTTGAGCTTGTGTAACATCTTGCAAAGTTGGATTTATGATGGATTCTAAAAACAAACTTCTCAATCTTGTGCAAACGGTTTTGGAGGAATTGAAAGTGCTACGCCAAGAATTCAAGACACAAAATGTTGCCTTGGCTGCTGCAAAGAATGAAACCAGGGAGTTGAAGATTTCTCACAAAAGTTTTGAGAAGATCATGCTCCAAATCTTTGGATCTGTTGAGGACATTCAAGACAAGGTTGGTTCTCAAGCTTCTACTGTTACTACTCCTGCTTTGCATGAAGTGGTTGAAACTCTAGAGTTGAAAATGAAGTCCTATGCTGAAGCTACCAAGTCTGCTCATATCTCTTTCTGTCAAGAGCAAGAGATTGAAAAGGCTAATCAATTTGCTCGTATGAAGAATGTGAGGATTTCGGATCTACCTGAATCTGAGAAGGAAGAGGTGAAGAGTGTGGTCACCAAGTTTTTGACTGAAACACTTGATGTTCCTAATCCGGATTTGGCTCATGCTTATCATATTGGCAACAAAGGCGCACAACCTCGTGCCATTATCGTTAAGTTTGTGGATCAAGCTCAACGTGATATGGCTTTAAGGGTCTGGATCTGGATCTAACCAAATCCTCCGTCCCATTCTCAA